CCTGTTGAGAGAGAGATCTGGAGGAAGGAAGAGGGAAATGTGGGAAGGCTGCAAACCAGGGTCGCCGTACTTCCGGAGAGCAGTGAGCAGATGTAGGGGGGTGGGGGCTGAGGACAGAGCGCTGAGCACCGGGACACAGTCTCTCCTTCAAAGCTGTCACTGAACTGCCATCTTCCCATACCATGAGGAGGAAAATTAGGTAACGTCTGGAGCGCGCTTCAGCTGGTCCATTCATCACCACGAAATATGAGAAACAGACTCGGCGTGGGCAGGTCCCCTGGGCAAAGTACGGGTGTGCGGATCCTGGTGTATTAGGCGGCAGGCGCCACCTCCACTAAGAGGGGCCCCACAGGCCCAGCCCACCAGGAACTCTGCTCATCTCAGCACTGAAGGTCCTGCATCCCGGGAAACCTCTGCACACACATACACACATGCACAGCTCACCCCTGATCTTGTTGGGGACATTAGTGATTCAGTTGCCAAAAGTAGTCCTCCTCTCCTTTTAACCACAGGGCATGATGCCGAGCACTCTGTCCACGATATAGGACCATCAGAGACCGCCAAGATCCGTTCCCTACCCCCACCCTCCATCCTGTAGTCCTTTAGCTGCTCCCAGAACCGCATGCAGTTTACAGCCAAACAGTGACCTCCCCTGGAGAACGACTCTGGCTGAATCGAACCACTCCCCTAGAAACGGGGACCGCAGAGGGGTCACCGGCCTTGGTTTAAGGCCGTGGGTCTCAGCCCGAAGAGGACTTCGGGCGCTGTCCAGAGACATTTTTGGTCTCTCTGGAACACTACTGACCTCCAGTGGCAGAGCTCAGGGATGCTGCTGGACACCACAGCATCCAGGACAGCCCTGTGGGCAACAGCGCCAGGATGAAGAAACCCAGGTTCAGCGTGCGATTGCCTCCCCTGGTCACCGCAGGGACCGGTGGAAGTTTTCCTCTTATTCATGCTCATGAGGCACACTATCCTCCCACCATAGAAGCACAATTTGGACCAGGGCCATGGAAGCCAGCCCAAGATGTTTGAGAAGATCCTTGGGATGCTCGAAGGGACTAAACCTCATGTCCGATGTCAGGTTTGCAGAAACGGGAAATGGCAGAGGGATGTGAGAGTGATTTATGAAGGAAGTGCGCCAGGAGAAAGGGGGAGGAAGTCACCCCAGGTGAGACTGAAGCAAAGCCTGGGCTTTAGCCTGATCCTGCAGGGCGGCTCAGCAGTGTAAATTACAGCCCAGAGCCCATCCCAACTCTCCCCAGGGAAAGAAGCCAGGTTTCCACCTTCTTCTACTGGTCCATCGTTGGCTGAGGGTCGCCCCAGAAGGGTGCTAGTGTTGTGCACTGCTTCCCAGCTACATCAGCTCTCTGGTTTTGCAGGCAGAACAGCCTGAGGCCTAGGAGCAGACACCTCCAAAGACACCTGCAGGTCCCATGCAAGACGCAACACTGTACAGAAGCGGTAAAGGAAAGGGGATCCAGATGCAGCTTCAGCCCTGAAAATCTGCCAAGACCTTGGGCGAGCAAGTGAAAGAAAGCAAACAGCCCAGGTTGCCATTTCTGGTCTGCAAAGTGCTGGATCAGATCCACAGTCCCAACTTCCTAGGACCCAGCAGACAAGACAAGCACACCTGGCACCTTCTGTGAGTCAGAGGCCACAGCTCAGCTTCAGCGGGCATCTATCCACGCCAGGCGTTTTCAGGCTCCCCTCCCTGCCTGTGATTTATGTGTCTACAAAGGCCGCTCATTAAAAGAACATCTGTGTCTCCCATCCACTGGGCTCCACCCTCTCAGAGAGGTTTCTTCACTTTCCTGTGAGCAGCTCCTCTGAGAATGAAGCATCCCCAAAGGCCCTGAGCCACCAGAGGTCGAAGGGTAGGCGGGAACTTCCGGAAGTTCCTTCCAAAATTCACTGGGGCGGTGAGTTCTTTGCAGAAAGGATGGGTTGCTCCCGTTGGTTCATCCGGGGAGACCAAGACCCGAACTAAGTCCAAAGGTAGCACAGAGGCTCTTCTCTGGTGAGGTTGCCTTAGCGGCATTAGGGCGCGTATTGGTTCGCTAGGGCTGTGTTAATGAAATTCCAGGCTGGGTGCCTCACGTGGCACAGATCAGCGTCTCACCCTCTGGAGACAGAAGAGTGAGGTCAGGTGCCTGGGGGGCGGGTCCTTCTGAGGGCAGAGGGGATGCACGCGTCTCAGCCTGACCTCTGCCGGCGTCATCCGAGTCCACACCCCCCTCTTAGGACACTAGGCACGTAGGACTTAGAACCCACCCTGCTCTCAGAAGGTGTCATTGTCCATCTTAACAGATTTCACCGGCTTCTCCATGAGGTCACATCGAATGGACTGGGGTGTAGGATTTCAACCTATGAAGATTTGGGGAATACAATCCAACCCGAAGAGGGTGGCTTACAACAGGGCAGGCTGCCATCCTGTGATGTTAAGGACGGAAGGGGAAAGCCAAGTGTGATGACACACACCTGTAATCTGAGGCTGAGGCAGGAGGACTGCAAATTTGAAGCCAGCCTGGGGTAATTTAGCAGCTTAGTGAGACCCTGTCTCAAAATAAAAAAACAAAAAGCCTGGGAATGTAACTGAATATGAAGGCCCTGGGTTCCATTCCCAGTACATTAAAAAAAAAGATGATGATGGTGATGATGGTGATGATGGTGATGGTGATGATGGTGATGATGGTGATGATGGTGATGATGGTGATGATGGTGATGGTGGTGATGATGATGATGATGGTGATGATGGTGATGGTGATGGTGATGGTGGTGATGAGTGAAGGGAAATGGTCACAGGGTGGAGGAAGGAGGAGCGGGCAAGTGATTGGCCATGGTGACAATGAGCCAGCCTTGCACTCTTCCCGGGGCACTGAGTGTTGCCCAGCTGTCTGTGCACCTCTCCCTACCTGCTCACGCCTGCCCTTACCCTCCACTGACGTGGCACCCGCTTCCACGGCACCAGCTTAGCACAGACAAAACTGGAGGGAACCACAGCCACCCCAGGACTGCTCTGTCCCACAGCCTGGGGGCGCCGTCAAAAAAACAAGCTCCACCCCACTGTGTGACCTGGGGATGCGAGCAGGAACGTCCATGGCCTCTGCGTCCCGGAAGGATGGAGCCAGCAGGTGCACACTTCTCCCCTTCATGTCCAGGAGACCTTTTAGGGACGCATCTCACGGTGTCCTAGTCCTGCACACCATGCACAGATGCCTGTAGCAGTGGCCATGCCCTCTCCCTCCTGTCCTGACCCTTGCATGCAGCAAAATGTACGTGAACCCTTGCCTCAGGCTCGGCCTTCAGACTTGGGCTGAGACATTCTGTGCGCCTGCACTGAGGGAGGTGGAGTGGGCTTCTCCCTGGTGCCATAGGAACATGCAAAACTCCACAACGAGGACCGGGAGGCTGAGAAGAGCGGAGGGCCGGCAGGGGCCAGGCCACTGAGGGCGAGCTCTGGCCCCATCACCAGGGCTTGAGGGCACAGGCAACCCCAGCTCTGCAGAGCTGTGTCCAAAGTCCTATAAAGAAGCACCACTGTCCCTCCTGACCATGCCCAAGGGGCCACCCTGCCAGGGCATCATGTGTGACAGCATCGTCTGTGTAAGATGGATGCAAAGCTGTCGCAAAGCAGCAAGAGCCCCAGAGCTGTGCCCAGGGCTGGACACTCTGACGCTCACCTTGCACCGCACGACCTCAGGCTGGTCCCGGGGCCCTGTGCCCCTCATGGCATGTGTCCCCGCAGCGCTGGCATCCAAGGCCTGTGTCAGCTCAGTGCCCATGAGCCAGGTGCCTGCCTGGCCTGGCTACCAGTGGGTGTGTGGTCCCCATGCTGTCGGGGCACAGGGACTGAGAGGGCAGGCAAGAAGTGTCAGGGGCCGTTCTGGAAGCGGTCTCCACGGGTGTGACCGGTCTGTGCACTCTTCTTTTGCACGTCACATTTGAACAAGAAGTTTCAAGGCTAAATGAAGTCAAGTGACCTGCTACGGCCTCTGATGCTGGCGATGATGGTATGGTGATATCATTATGGGAGAAAGCAGAGGACTTCCTGTTTTACAATAAAACCCCAGGGACCTTGCCTAGGGCCCCTTTGACTTGCAACATCTGGAGCAAGAGCCCCAGGCTCCAATCCAGGGGCACTTTCAGGGGGCCCCTGCTGGGCCAGGTCCTCATCACTTGTCTTCCCTTCTGGAGGCCTAGCTGTCCAATGGAAAGGAATTACCTCTGCCTAATTCCAGATCCTGTTATAGTTCTCCATTGTACTGATGGGGAAACTGAGGCCATAGATGGTTCAACAAGCAGGCCCTCAAGCTTCCAGAAGGGCCACACTCTGTCATGCTGTCCCAGGCCAAATTGAGGAATAAAAATGACAACAGCACGGTGATTACGAGTGCAGTCTAAGCCCTTTCCGTGTCTTAGCTCATTTTGCCACGTGTATCCCCATTTTATAGAAATGGAAACTGAGGCACAGAGCATCCATGCTCCTAATTGCTGCTCTTCCGGCCAGGCCCCTGAGGCCGGGTGGGTGCTCCAATGCCTCCTGCCCCTCACTCGCTCCGCCTCCCCAACCCGTGCATTTAGCCAGGCTGGGTCCTGGCCAAGTCTCGGCTGTCACCGCGTTCCCATCTTTGATCACCAGTCAGCCCAGATGTTGGGCTGATCAAAGGCAGCTGCTGCCCTGACCCTCCCAGCACACACAGTTAGGGATGCAAGAGGGAGTCTGGAGGGACAGACACGTGCTGTGACATGGGGCCTTGCTGCCCAGGGCAGAGCCGGGCCCCTCCCCATTGCCCTGGGCCTCAGAAGGACCAGGGTCAGCCCAGGTCTCCAGAGCACGCTGGGCAGAGAAGCAGCGAGTGCGGCAGTAGAGCCAGGGCCCTGGCCCCCAACAAGTCAGGAAGCAGCATCTCCAAGGTGGACGAGGTGGACACAGAGGGCGCGAGAGCTTCCCCGGGGTACAAATCCCATCCTAAGCAGGACTCAGGCAGGGGCTCCACCCTGCTCTCTCACAGGCCCTCACGGGCTGAATTTTCTGTTTACAGTTAATTTAAAATCAGAGCATGAGATAGCATATCCAGGTTAGCTCGTGAGATTTTAATTTCACAATTAGGGTAGTGGGACAGAAAAGATGACAATTCATGCCTGTAAGAGCATAAACCAGGATATTTACAGCGCGTGGGTCAGTGGGGAAGCGTTTCCTTTTTTTCTTTTCTTCACTCATTCATACATTGATTCAATACCATCTATGGGCATGTTCTTAAATAATACTACCTAAGATCAAGTAAATGTTTATTGGATTCCCAAAATAGGCTTATCTCTGTGTGGAACCATTAATATGTTATTTTAGTCCCAAAAATGTTTAATTTGAATAAAATATAAAATAGTGTGCATTCTTGAGTACCACTTTCTAAAAGATACAGTGAGAGAGAGAGAGAGGGAGAGAGAGAGGGAGAGAACGAGAAGAGAACAAGACAAAAAGTGAGCGGAGATGCGTTCCCGGAGTCCACAGGCTGGCAGGTGGGACTCCCCCCACTTCCGGTCCTCAGTGTCCTCTCCCAAGGGCTGCACGCATGTGAGCGGGGTGTGGATGTAACCCGGTTCCCTCCTCAGAGACCCCACAACTGCAGCCCCTAAGCGGCCCCCAGATCACAGCGGTGGCCTTTGGAGCCCGGTCTGGAGTAAGTCTTCGCAGATGCCCTTTCCGACCTTCCCAGCCAGATGCGGAAACGGGGAAGAAGGGCCAGGGCTGCGTGCGCTGGAGTTGGGCCAGCCTGGCATTCAGGCCCCAGGCACTGAGTGTTCAGGAACTCGCCTGCCAGGTGTTGAACTTCACCATTATTAAAAATTAATGTTGCTGGAGATTTAGTTCAGTGGCGCCACCGCCTGCCTCGCAAGCGCAAGGTCCTGAGTTTGATCCCTGGTACCACAAAAAACAAAAAATTAATGCTGTAGCTTGTGAAGGGTGCAGCTCAGTGGCAGAGCACTTGCCTAGTTTGCCCAAGGCCCTGCGTTCAGTCCCTAGCACCACCAAAACGTTAAACTATATAAGCTTACAGTGAAATAAATTATATTAACAACAGGGAAATACGCAAAGCTCTTCACTTCCTAATCATCTCACTGCATTTTACTTTCTTCTGGCTGGTGGAAATTTGATAAAATAGAAATTTTACTACACACATCCTCCCAACTTCATATTCAAGGCCATAAGGCTTAAACAAATTGGCCAGGTGTATTTACACCAGGGGCATTGGTAATTGCTACATATCAGGATTTATTTATTTATTTATTTATTTATTTATTTGGTGGTGGTACTGGAGATTAAACTCGGGGCTTTAACACTGAGCCATATCCCCAGCATATTTATTTTTTATTTTCAGATAAGGTCTCGCCAAGTTCCCCAGGCTAGGCTTGAACTTGCAATCCTCGTGCCTCAGCCTCCCACAGTGCTAGGATTACAAGCATGCACCACTATGCCTCTCATCCTTGGCATATGAGCAGGATTTTTCCCAGAGAGCCATTGTTAAATATTTACCTACACACACCACAGTTGGAGCTGAAGTGACTTCTCCATGCCTGTCCTGAATTGCTGTCACTCTAGCCCTGGAAGAGCTCTGTGCCACCTCCCACCCTGGCCTCAGAACCAACAGGTACCAAGCCCTCCAGATAGGGCAAGAAATACAATGTACATTTCACGGGACAGATATGGGTCCTTTGATTCTCAGTGCAAGATGCAGGGATAGGATCCCATTCTGTTGATGCTGCAAGCTTTTTTAGAAAAACTGAATTGTCGAATAAAGACTGGATGTATTTAAAGTGTTCCCGTGTACTGCATGATGACTGTCACCATCTAATTACTGCACACACACTCTAGAGAAAGAGCCCAGCCCTGCCCTTGCTCCTGCACTGGGCCCATAGCTGGTACACAGTGCTAATGAGAATCAGGACTCGTTTACTGAGCACTTGCTGTTTTGTTTGTCAGGGTCTGGGCAGAGCACTTGAAGAGAATCATCTCTTTCAGTTGTATTTTTATTAGGGCCTGTTGCAGTACATAATGATCACATTCCTCCTGGGAAGCTGGTGCCTGCACACAGCACCTCTTCTTGCTTTCTTTTTTTTCTTTCTTTCTTTCTTTCATTCATTTCCCTTCTGCTCCCCTCCTCCCCTTCCTTCCTCTCTTGGTCCCCTCCCCATTTGCAAAAGATCTAGCCCCCTGTTTCCTATTATCTACCTTTTATTTTGCTCCTTAATTTATGTTCAGACATTCAAATGTGCTGAGGAAAACCACCCACTTTACCTTTCTATCTCCATGAATGACCAGCCTTGGGCTAAAAGAGCCAAGCAGCCACAATCCCCAGATGTGCTGATTTTCCTTCTCTCCCTGCACACTGCATCTGCCTGGCGTCTCCAAGCACTCTGATTCCCAGGTCACAAGAGCAGAGGTAGAAAGCCCCTGGTCAATGGTTTGGAACTTGAGAACCCAATCTGGCACCAGCAGCTGACTTCTCATGGTCCAAGAAGTTTGGGGTGACACCCAGCCCTTCACTCCCTGCCTGATGCGCAAACCCAGAGCTCTCAGGCGAACTCCGAACTCCTCCACAAGGTCCAGGGTCAGCTCTGATTGGACCTGTTAGGCTTTTTGTCTAGATGATCCCCAAGACCCTCTCAGGCTCCCAGGCGTGTTTGGGGGAAGGTGATTGGACCATGGGCCTCAGAGCTGGCCTGCTGTTAGGAGGTGGGTCTGGCCAGGAGAAGGGGTCGTGGAGGCGTGGCCTGGAGAGGCGTGTCTCTTCCCAGGCTCCTCCTCACTCTCCACTTCCGGTTCGCCACACTGAGGCCCTCTCCTCCGCCATTCCTCGCTGCCCAGCCGTCCTGCCTTGGAGCAGCCAAAACAAACCTCTCCTCCTTAAGTTGTGGGTGTCAGTTATTTTGTCCCAGGAACGAGGGAAGTAACTCGGGCAGGACCCAGGTTCACGTTTGCAGTCCGGTCTCTCGTGGCTGCCTCTGGTGTCCTCTTCGATCCTGCGACACAAACCATCTCAGGCCTTCCAGGACCGAGCGTCGCCACCTCTGCCCACACAAGCTGGGTCCCCTCTCCCGGGCCATGGCTCACCCTCCCCGGCGCGCTGCACAGGTCTGGCTTCCAGGCGCCTTCGGACTCCTGTCGTCCACCAGGGGACAAAGCGTCCGGACACCTGAGCATCCCGTCAGCTCTAGCGCTCACCCATCCAAATCCACTCAGATGCACGCAGGACATCCCTGGTCCCCCACCTGTCCCGTGAGCGTCACCTGTGCGGAGCTGGCCTTGGCCTTGCCAGTCCCATCACGAGGCTCCGTTTCCCTCTCTGCCCCGCCCGGAGAATGTGGGCAGCAGCTGCCCCAGACCCGATCCCCCAGTGCTTGCTCAGCGCTGATGGCACCCAGGCCTCCTGGCTGAGCTCCTCACCTGTGTGTCACCTGGGTGGCTTGGATGAAAGGACCGGGGATGACGCACTTAGCTACTAGCTCAGCATCCACTGGGCCTTTGGAGTTGTTACTCGCACATGCGTGGTGGTCTCATGGCTGGGGGGCTAGGGGCGGAGAGATGAATGGGGAATCCGAGGCGGCCCCAGCTGGGAGCTGGAGTCTCCGCGCCCGGCCCACTGGCCCCCAGAGCAGGAGACCAAAGCAGGGCTGATCAATCACCAGGACTTTAAAGGTTCCTTGGCTTTTGTACACTGTGTCCTCCTGATGTTTCTCTTAGCTACATGGCAACACCCGTTTGTTTAGAACTCGCAGCAAATACATCTTGGAGAGGACTTTGATCCCTGGCAGCTGTGTATGTGTGAGTGAGGCCGAGTCCCAGGGGCACAGAGGACATGGGAAAGAGGCAGGCTGCTCTGGTCTCTCTCATGCCCTTGGGCTGGGCTGGGCTGGGCTGGGCTGGGCTGGACAGGACACCCCACCCACCCCACCCCCAGGCCGCACCCCAGCTTTCTGCGCTTGGAGGCAGAATTGAGAGCAGAAGCCCAAACGCTAACCTCAGAGAGTTCTGGGTTCGAGTCCTGACTCTGCCACTAAAGTCGCTCAACCTCTCTGGGCATCACTTTGTTCATCTGTAAAATGGGCATCACAGGAGTTTTGAAGTCAGTAGCTTGTACAGGAGTAAATGGGATCATGCTCTGAAAGAGCATGAGATGAGGTAGGAGCCTAACTTTTTATTTATTTATTTTTATTTTTTTGGCTGTACTGGGGATTGGACCCAGGCCTTCCACACTAAGCTACATCCCCAGCCCTTTTTAAATGTTTTTTATCTGATCTTGAAACAGAATCTCACTAAGCTACTAAGTTGACTGGGTGGGACTCAATCTTGTGGTCCTCCTGCCTCAGCCTCCCCAATGCTGGGATTAAACACATGCTCTTTTGGGCCCCACTTGCTAACAAATCTCTGAACAAACATTTTGACTCTGCTTCTGAGAAAGGGAGAGGAACATTGTAATTTAAATGTTACATCAAAAAGCCAGGCATAGTGGCCTGAGCCTGTAATCTCAACACTCAGGAGGCTGAAGCAGGAGGATCACAAATTCAAGGCCAGCCTGGACTAGAAATGAAGACTCTCCAGAAAAGTCATGTTGCATGGAACTGTAACATAGCACTGTGTTTACAGTGTATTGGTGACCCCGCTACTGTCCGGCTGTGCAAGCTTTGGTGAGTTTCTGCCCCTTTCTGAGCCTCAGACTCCCCATCTGGACCATGGAAATCATAAATAGCTGCCTGGTGAAGAGGTTAATATACAAGTTAACTAAGGGAATACTTAGAACAGTATCTGGGACATTGTACCCACTCCATAAATATTACCTTCACTGTCATCCCACAAGGAGAGATGGTGGGATCCTTCCCTCAGTTTCCCCCACCTGGCACACAGGGAGTGCCCCCCCCAGTAATTCAGACACAGCATTGGGTGTGACTCTTTACACGGTAGGTGGAAGTTTTTTTCTGATCTCCTTGGGAATGTCCCCACTTTGTGGAGCAGAGTCCTTTATCCTGGCTTTGTGAGATGGTGGGAGAGGACAGAGCTTTGATTTTGTCCCTATTCCTCTCCCTTTAGCAGCAGGAACAGCAGGCCCAGGCATCCCAGAGGCCTTGACACCCACATTCCAGGAGACCCCCATCATGCTCATTCTGTCCCCACTGCCACCATCCCAGTCCAGGCCACGAAAACCCAACTCCATATAGTACTTTCCACCTTCATAATGAGACCCTGAGTTTGTCAAGGTGGTGCTGTGACTGCCTGGGAAACTACATTTTGCAGCATGTCTTCTTCAGCTAGTCATGTGACTGATTTCCAGCCAATGGTAAGCAGATGTGCACTATTCCCAGCATGCCTTTCAGCTCGAGAGACATGTGACTGCATTCCAGACAATGCTAAGCAGATATTGGGAGACACCTGGGAAACCCAGCCTAAAGAGCCCTTTGAAGGCATCTGACTGCCTGCAAGGATGTTCACTCATCCTCCTTTCCGTCTCCTTCTTGTCTGGAACATGGAGCTGCAGATTCCCCTTCCATTTTCAACAAACATGACCTTACCTCGTGATATGTAATGGCTCCCCCAGCTCCTGCCTTTGTGTCTCCATTCCAGACAGAAGAGGAAGCGAGGGGGGGGGGGGTGTCCATGAATTTTGTTGTATCCATCAACTATAGTATTTAATTTTTTTAAAATTTAAACAGCCCTTGATTGTTGATCATTTCCATGGCTTCATCTTTCCACTATTATAAACAACACATTGATTCACATTTTTGAAGTTTTTATACATGTGTTCAACTATCTCTGTAAGATAAGCTCCAAGAAACGACACTTCTGTGAAAAAAAACTCCTGATATGGCTTCCAAATCACGTTTCCAGAAAAACCATACCTCTTCATACCCGTTTATCAGGTAATAGCAGTGCTGTTTTCCAACACCTTCACCAATACGGATTTTAGTACATTCCTTTTTTTTTTTTTTAACCAAATGGGGAGCCATGGCCATGATGTGGATTCTTCTTAGCTTTATTTTTTTTATTTAACCAGGGATTGTTGCCAGCACACAGAAGCAGGGTCCAAAGGCCCCTTCGGCACACAGACAGCAGTGACTCCCAGCCAGGGGAACACTGATTTTCTCACAGTTCGGGAGGGAGGCTGAAGCCCAGGATCCCGGTGAGGCTCGGTTGGTTCCTCATGAAGTCTCTCTCCTGGCCAGCAGAGGGCCACCTTCTCGCTGTGTCCTCAAAGAAATGGGAGGAGGGCCTGGGATTTCCCTCCTTTTCTTTTTTTTTCTTTTTTTCTTTTTTTGTTTGTTTCTTTGTTTGTTTGTGGTGGTAGGGGTTGAATCCAGAGCCTTCACACTGAGCTACATTTCCAGCAGTTTTTGAGACAAAATCTCATTAAGTTGCTAAGTAGCCCAGGTTAGTCTTGAACTTGCAATCCTCCTGCCTCAGGCTCCCAGAGTGCCGGGATTAGACATGTGACACCTCTCCTGGCAACCTTGATGTTTTGCAGATGCTTTACTCCAACTGTGCTCCCTGGTCACACAGTGTCCTCCCCTGTGTGCATGCGTCCCTTTCTCTTCCTAGGAGGACCCGGTCACATTGAGTCAGGGCCAATCCTGACCCAGTGTGACCTCAGTGTAACCTGATTACACCTGCCAAGCCCTGTTCCTAAGCAAGGCCACGTTCACAGACACCGGGATCAGGACTTCCTTATTTCTTTTGGGTGAACGCCGCTCAACCCACCACACACAATTGAGGAAAGTACTCCATTTTGCAGATAACCAAACTGAGGCCGAGAGGTGCAGGGACTTCTCCAAGGTCACACAACTGGCCGGCAGCTGAAGCAGGGCTGGAACCTCGGTGTGAGCTGGTCTGCCAGTCTGCTGGGCCAGACAGTAGTGGGCCAACTCCTCAGACCAGTGCAGGGAGGCTGAGCAATTACCCTAAGGCCACACAGCTTCCAAGTGGAGCATCTGGATTCTGAACCCCAAATCCAACAGCCTCCCCTAAGCCCCAGTGATTCCTCCGGGTCGGGAGGCTGAGCTCCCCCTCTGGACCCTCCCTCTCAGCCCTGCATTGGTTCAGCCAGTGGCTCCGTCTCTGCCCATGGTGGGCCCCCTCTCCCTGCACTTATCCATGCCCTGTGGCTGCTGGAAGAAATGACCCCAAACTTGATGATATAAAACCAGGCCGCCAGGCATGGTGGTACACACCTGTCATCCCAGCACTGTGGGAGGCTGAGGCAGGAGGATCACAAATTCAAGCCCAGCCTGGGCAACTTAGGGACTTAGTGAGACCCTGTCTCAAAATAAAAACTAAAAAGGGCCGGGAATGTAGCTGAGTGTGAGACCCCTTCAGCTCCTGTCCCTTCCTGCCTGTCCAGTCAATCCCTTTGTAGATCCAGAAATATTTACCAACTACTGTACAGCAGGCGCTGTATTGAGCAGCGCCCTTCTGGTCGGAAAGCACGGGTCTGTCTCCTTCCATCCGTCTACTGTGCACAGCCAGGTTGGACACGTGGTCAAGATTCCTGGTTCCCCTGCTCTGCAGCGGCTGATCCACGGTTCTCTGCCTCCCCCTGCTGGTAATTACGTGGAATTGCAGGCAGCTTTTCTAACAGCGGAACAAAGTTGAGCTGGCTCAAGGCGTTCAAACCCAGTAAGGAAAAGGGAAAAAGAGATCTAGGGTAGTAAGTTGGTGTTTAGCAAAAGCACTGGGAGACAAAAACCTAAATCCACCTGAGGACATCAAGTTGACCAGGATCGTTTCACAAGCAGCTCCCCCGCTGTATGGTATACAATTCAGCGGTGGTGAACCTGTGGCACACGTGCTGCAGCGGGCTCTTTGTTATCATTGAAAGCTCTAAAAGATTCGCCATCGCTGATATAGATTGTAGGCTCCGACTGTCCACTAGTCCTGGCTGAGGGAGCTCAGGTAAGTCACATCGCCTCTCCGTGCCTGGTTTTGCCATCTGTATAATTGTCCCTGTATCTCTGGGTACCGTGGAGTTTAAATGAGTAGGTCGACCTCACCTTGCCCAGCACATTCTGCACAGCCCTGGTCTGTTTGATGAGTGATTTGTGATTTGTACTGTTTCCAGGTAGCTATGGTCCACTGCCAGAGCTTGAGGGGTCCCCAGCTGCCCACTGTTCAGCCCCCAGAAGGGCCCCTAGCACCCAGACCCAGCCCCCACCTGCCCAGGTGAGCCACAAGAGCTGCACGCAGATGAGGCGGAGGCTGCTGCCCACCCGATCTCCTGGGCCTCTCAAGGGCCCTGTGCAGGTGGCCAGGAAGGGGCTCTGCACAGTGATGGCATCAGGAGGTGACAGCCATCTCTCGCCTCCACCTGCCACCCTGACTTCCGGTCCCTGAAGACAGCCACAGGTAGAAGAGAGCAAGGGGAGCCCAGCTTGAACCCGGCCTCGATCTCTTCCGTGCGGTCTCAACCAAGCATCTTTTCTTCTGGGGCCTCAGTTTCCCTGTATGGGAATAGGTTGCTGCAGGAATCCTTCTGCATCTGAAAAATGTCCAAAAATTACTATCTCCATGCCTTTCTCAATGACATCTAAGTCCCCCAAAGCCACACGCTGCATTTTTTTTTTTTTTTTTTTGGTACTGGGGATCAAACTCAGGACCTTGCACTTGTGAGGCAGGCGGTGGAACCACTGAGCTAAATCCCCTGCCCCACACACTGCTTATTAATGACAAAGGGGAGAAGTGTACAGAGGAGAAACCTGGCCGACACTTCCTTAACTAAGTGACAAGGTTTCCAACCTCAATGAAGATAGTGAGACGCTGTGCGTCCTGACACGCTCGCTGTGGGTGACTCATCGTTCAGAGAACAGAAATCAAGTGCAGAAGCCTGCTGCCTTGGTGATTTCTAACGTGCCATTGTGATTGGTCCACATCTATAAACACGGGACTACTGCATCCCTTTGTCATTTAAAAAGATCTTTTAAAATATACTTAAGCCATATTTTAGGGTAGTTTTAAATTTACAGAAAAATTGTGAGAACATTACAGAAAGGTCCCCTGTACCCTTGACCCAGATTCCTTTATTATTAGCATTACTCTGGGGCAGTTGTCACAATTCATATGGCAATATTGACACACTATTATTCACTAACGACCACAGTTAGATTTCCTCATTTGGTACCTAACCTCCTCCTCTGTCCCAGGACCCCATATGACACTGAGTCCTCACATCTTAGGCTGCTCCTGGCTATGACAGTTTCTAATACTTTCCTTGGTTTTGGTGACCTTGACACATGTGTGTGTGTGTGTGTGTGTGTGTGTGTGTGTGTGTGTTTACTGGGGATTGAACCCAGGGCTTTCACACTGAGCTACATTCCCAATCCTCTCTTTGTTCTTTATTTTGAGGCAGGGTCTCGCTAAGTCACTAAGTTGCCCAAGCTAGTTTCAGACTTGAGATCCTCCTGCCTCAGCCTCCCAGAGTGCTTGGATTATAGGTGTGCACCGCTACACCTGGCAACCTTGGCAGTTTTAAGGAGCACTGGTCAGGCCTTGGAGGGTGCCCCTCCATCAGGGTTGGCCTACTGTTTTCTCACAATGAGACTGGGGTTGTGGGTCAGGTGAAGAAAAGTATCACTTCTCACACATCCAGTCGAGGGTGCCAGCTGTCCCTGGGGACCTCAGCCCTGACTGCCTGGCCGAGGGAGTGTGGGCGTCTCTCCAGTGTGAAGTCGCTGTCCTTCCTCGCTGTCAGATCCTGGTCTTTGCAAGGGGGTCACCATGCAGTCCAAGCTGAAGGTTGGGGATCTGTAGCATACTTCTGAGGTGAAGCATTATCACAAATCGATGGAAAGGGCAGGGAAGCAGCTTTGCCCTGGGAGCTGCAGAGGACCAGCCCTGCCCACCATGTGGCTTTAGGATTTCTGCCCTCTGGAGCTGAAGATGATCCGTGTTTAAGGCCACTCTGCCTGTGGCCGAGCCAGGGGGTGCTTGCTCCAGGTTGATAGTGGAAGAGACGGAAAGGGGGTGTTGAGGCGGAGATTTAAGAGGTGGGTTGATGGATTCCACAGAGGCTGAGTGAGGATGGGTCTCAGGGTGACCTCCGGTTCCTGGCTGGAACAGCTGGGGGGACATTGGTCCCATTCACTGGGACAGAGAGCAATGCTACATGGCGGGAACCCAAGGTTCCTGTGGATTCCTGCTTGCATCTCCTGCAGAACCTTTCAGAATCGCTCCCACGGCTGTTCCTCCCCGGGCCCTCTCTTGGGGACAAAACCTAACTTCTCGCAGCCTCGAGTTCAGCTAGTTGTGAAGCCCCCATGATGGGCTGGCCTGGACCTCCCTGGCTCTTTCACTCCCTGGCATCATCAGAGAAGCCTCAATCCGAATCCCTGCTTACTACGTGCCGGAGCGTGTGGCCCTGTATGGCCGTCCTTCCCTGGACATGTGGCGGCCACATTTCCCAGCCCCTGTGCTGGGAAGTGGGGTTCATAAACGGCATTCCATTTTCCTTCCATACCTTTAAAACACCTTATGATTTGTGAGTGTCTTTAGGGAAGGCTATATTTAGGTGAACATTTTAATAAAGGCAGTTCATGAAAATAATAAAAGTCTATGAAGCCAAGGCGGGCAGGGTAATCCCAGCATGCCCTCTTATTAGAGGGTAATACCTGGGAGCCACCTCGTAAAACCCACTCCAGCCCATCCAAACGGGGTCACGGGTGCAAGAACAACCCCCTCCTTGTCATTTAACTATAGACATAGCAATCCATAAAAATATCTGTTGAATAAATGAATGACCTTGAAACATGGTGACCCCGAAGCAATCTCCAGAAGTGAGGGGACATTTTTAAAAATTTTAACTGACACCTAATAAGTATACTTATTTATGGGGTACAGTGGGATGTTTCAATACTCTGTTAGTGTGTTATCATCAGATCGGGGTAACTGGCATTTAGCGTAAGTGCGTGTGTGTGCGCGCATGCACGCTGGTGAGATGGGGGAAAGGTACTCCTTGTTTTTTCTTTTCCCTACAGCTGCCCCAAGTGCCTCACACCTGGCCACAGCCACATCAGCCACCCCATGGCTGCTCCAGGAGACATTTGCTTTGGCGACAGCAAGCTCTGGTCACGGGTCCACCCTCCCCCCCAAACAATGGCTGACACTGTGCACATTGCTGACACATCATTGAGGAGGGGCCATCCTTCACCCCACTTCACTCCGCACACCCTGAGCCATCTCTTCTTCAGCTTGGCATCAGTGAGGTCCCTGTATGACCCCTGTCCTGGTGACGGATGTGCCTGTTCCAAGACATGTGCAGCCGTCCAGCTCTATAGCTCCATGGATGTCTCGAGTCCACAGAGCCTCATTGGCAATGGCCTCAATGAGACCCTAGTGCTTGCCTCCTTCTGCTGCCTAGTGTGATGCTTTGCAAAGATGGACCAGGCTCCTTTTGGCCACTTACAGTGGAGAGAACAGGCCACCTATCAGTAACCAACCAGGCTCCCGGCAGCCATCTCTGCAGGCTTGTTCTGTGGGCGGTGCACATGCGCCCTACCTCCTGGGTCCAGTGTGCAAGGCATGGGCTTCAGGGTGTGCATTTGGAGCATAGGAGCCAGGGAGGTTGCAGAAAGATACAAAAGTGGCCAAAAGCATGAAAATATTCTCCATTTCATTAGCCAATAGGGAAACATCAGTCAAAACTACAAGAGGGTATACCACTTTGTACCCACTAGGATGGCTATAATTTAAGAAGACCTAATAAAAATCTCAGTAGAGCTATGGGGAAATCAGAACCTTCATGTAATACTGGAAGAAATGTAAAATGTGCAGCCACTTTTGAAAATAATTCAGCTATTTCTAAAAAGGGTAGCATATGACCCAGCAACCTCCCTCCTAGAGATATACCCACAGGGAATAAAAACACGCTCCACACAAAAACTTGTACATGGATGTTCATAGCAACATTATTCGTAATGGCCACAACATAGAAAAAACCTAAATGTCCAGTGGATAAATGAAGTGTACTATGTCCATACATGCTATTTGATTCTGCAGGAAAAGGAGCGAACTGATTTGTGCTGCTACATGGGTGAAAACACCACATTAAGTGGAAGAAGCCAGTCACAAAAGACATGTCTTATACCATCTCTTGTGACAGAAACATAAAATGTCCAAAATAGATGTGTCAGGACAGAAGGTGGACTTGTAGTTGCTAGCAATTGGCAGGGAGCAATTGCCCAGGGACAAAACCCAGCAAATGTACTGAAGACTGTGGAGTTTTACACTTTCATGGGTGAACTGCACGGTATGCGAATTATATCTCAATGAAGCTATTAACAGCAATGACAAAGGAGGGTGAGGGGGGAAGGTGTCTCTAAGGTGAAGAAAATTGCAAAAGCCTGGGCAGGGTGTCCACTGTAGCCCAGGGTCTATAGGAAACAGGAAGTGCTGCTGTAAGGGGAGGAGATGGGCCGACTTCTTTTATTCTTGGTGACTCTGCCCCATCTAATAAAGGGTGCAGGGAGTGCTCAGAGAAGCAGCAGACCAATACCCCAGGCCTGTGCGATCTCTCTTCGAATCCGAGACGGTACAGAACCAACCCCACTTAACGGAGGAAGGCACAGGGGCTCACAGAGGTTAGTTCAACCAGGAACTCTTAGCTAGAAGGTCAACGGGCAGGAACAGGCCTAATGCTTGCAGGACTGGAATTGACCATGCGGTAGGGCCCTAAGCACCCCCCAGCTCAAATCTCAGATTCTTTCAGTCACATGATGTTGATAAAGTTGCTTCACTCGTTTGGTTCTCAGTTTATCCGCCTGCAAAATGGGGCTGTCCATTTCCAGTACGCATGTTCTAATATTTATGCAGCATGCTCAGTGATTGATTCATAATGCCTGGCAGACTGTAGGCCTCAGTTTCTCTAACTCTAAAAAGGAACAAGTATCCCTTATCTTGCCCCCGCTCTCTGGGCTGTTTTGGGATTCAAAATAAAATCGGGGACGGGACCAGAAAATGCCTTTTCCTAGGCGTTGGACATTAAAGATCCCTGCAATTACCCGATGATGTTGGGAACTGGCGCCCCCTGCTGAATTTTCTGCCCCATTGGCGTCTTTAGGAGCCGCCGAGGAACCTGCGCCTGCGCAGAACTCAGGCACTCGGCCTCTCCTCTCAGGGGTGTGACTTCCTCGAACTGCCGGGTTTGGGTCCGCCTACTTCCGGATGGGCGGGCCTTGGGGTGGGCCACGTGACTTTGTTCCGGCTCGCTAAAGATGGCGGCGCCCAGGGCAGCAGCGTGAAAGTTGCGGTAGGAAGACGCTGTCCCGCGGTGCTGACATAAAAAGCGGAGGGGGACCTTTCGCCATGTCGCGACTGATCGTGAAGAATCTCCCGAGTGGGGTGAGTGAATGGCCAGGACTTGGGATCTGAAAATGGGACCAGCTGGGAGCTGGTGGAAGAAAAAGGTGGCCGGAAAAAGTTGAGAGGTTTTTCGCTTTGGGGACTCCGAGAAGATCCAGACCCCAAAAGGGCTGGAACCTGGGTTTATCCCCATTTGACTGTTGGGGAGGACGGAATGTGGCTGCTAAAGGTCTCAGCTGACTTGTGGGGACCTGACTCAAATCTGACAGTTCTTTTAGGGAGATGTCAGCTCCTACCCTGACCCCATGCCCCGTTTCCACGGTCTCCTTATATTGCTCTGGCACTCGGGAATGCGTTGGGGAGGCACTTGGCTAGTATGTGCGGACCGGTGCGCGTTCCATTTCCCTCCCCCGTCTCCCTCAGGGAAAGTAAGAATACTGAGCGGGTGTGAAAGGCAATTTAAGTCATTTACCCAGTAAAGTAGGGAAGACTGCCCCAACCATGCTTTTCTGTTTCCTTAGAGACTACCACCGAACCTGACGTTGGACATTCAGTAAAAACATGAGTGAAGAAATAGAGGAATGTAGATGGCTGGGCGCAGTGTAGCGGTGTGAATCATCCTGTTTCACTGTAACTCTTCTTGGGTGGAGAGCCCCACCACTGGTGTGGCCACTGAGCTCCTGCCTCAAATCCATAATGAGCCATTTGGATGGCGGGGGTGTCTTCTGTACTCTTGGGGGCGTCCCCTTCCCTAGAAAAAGAACAAACGCAAAGCGATGTCGAGTCTATTAGTTTTTCTTTCTTCTTTTTACTTTGTCAGATAGGAGGGTTTTATGATACATGATTTTGAAAATTCAGACAGTACAATAGTGTGTAAAGTGAGAAGCAAAGTCTTGCTCCATTCTGCTCTCCATGTCTCACCAGGAGTAATGATCTTAAAGTAGTTCGTTTTTAGGACTCCTCGTAGGCATCTCTGGCCATTTCTTGGCCTCTTTAGCCCAGTGACTGTCTGCTGACTCTCCACTCTGAAAGATGAGGAGCTTAAATCATCTATTCCTCCCTTCCCTGTATTATTCTTTTTAATTCTTCTATCATTTACACTCAGTGGTGTGCTTTAAAAATATTTGTCATTGCTCCATTCACCAGCTTTCAACAGTGTCTCCTGATGCCACAGTTTGGTTGAGAATTTCAACTCAGCTCATCTTTTCCCTCCCAGTTTGTATTTCATTGTGCATCTCAGTATAGCTCCATCTTTCTATTGCTTGTCCTGTCTGGGGAATGAAACCATTAATAACAAAAACATGAACAGTAGCAGCCCTTGAAGAGGTTACTATTTGGCAACATTGAATCAGATGCTTTACATAAAGTAACTTATTTAACCCCCTCCTTAACCCTGAGTTAGCTTCCAGTCTTTCTATCATTTTAAAGGTAGAAAAATTGAAATACAGCCAGATAAACTCCTCTGCCTGAAGTCACACACAGTTGGTAATTCATATAGCAGGGATTGAATTGAGCAATCTGGTCCTAGAATTTGCATTCCTGCCCACTTTGCCTACCGTCTTTTGTAGCATAATTGCATGAACTTGTCTTAATTATTTTCCAGCAGGTAAAAAATTTTATTAATGAGGATTTGTGGTGTTGCTGACTTGTGGATAGAGGTGGACAAGACTTGGCTCCTGCATTTGTGAAGCTTGCAGGGTAGTGGAAGAGACAGACACCAGACTAAGGTGTAGGGATTGAAGTAGGAAGCACGTGCGGTGGGACCACAGCAGTGCTTTGTTACCTGACTCATCTGAGGGATCTAGCAAAGGCTTCCTGGAGGAGGTGATAAACTGAGTGTGAGGAGGACTTAGGAAGTCACTCAAAAGGTTCTGGTGGAGGAATGGCAGAATCAGACTTGAGTGAGGACTCTCCCATAATATAGGGACATGAATTCACTGGTTTTGTTTTTGTTTCAGTACTGGGTGTTGAACCCAGCTCCTTTGCCATAATCCACATCCCCAGCCCTTGTTTTATGTATTCATTTATTCATTTATTTATTCATTGTAGTACCAGGATTGAACCCAAGACCTTCACAGTGAGCTGTACCCTCAGAACTTTAAAAATTTTTATTACTAAATTGCCCAGGCTGGGCTCAAACTTGTGATCCTCTTGCTTCAGCCTCCCAGAGGGCTAGGACTACAGATAGGCAGGTGCTACCATGCTCGGCTTTGTTTTTAATTTTGAGACAGAAACTCACCAGGTCACTAAGTTTCCAGGGCTGGGTTTGAACTTATGATGATCCTCCTGCCTCAGCCTCCGCCAGGATTACAGCCATGCCACCACAGCCAGCTGAATTCAGTCTTTTATAGATCGGAGCTGAGTCACAGCCCTTGATTGTATAGACCTTGGGCAGAGCATTTGTTTCTGGAGTAAGTCTTTCATTTTCTCCTCTATAAAAATAGGTATGAAAAATTCCTAACCCAGCGACTGTGAGATTTCGATGACAGCGGAGTGGAGAAGCTGCCTCAGGGAGTTTCTCCATCTCGGGCTGCTGAAGCCTCTAGGTTCTTGCATTTTCAAACTCGTTTTGGCTGTTGGTGGGGCCCTGAGTGCCCCCGCAGCCTGCTTCCACACACTGTCTCCCAGCCTGCTCAGAAAACCCACTGAGGTGTAAGGCCGGCCCTGCTGGCGTGAGGATGGGAGAGCTAGCAGCCAGTTCTGCCTAGCGTGGGGGCCTCTTGTCCAAAATGTAATGGTATGGTTGTGGGGCTTGTCCGTTGCGGCCGTAACAAATCACCGTAATGCAAATGGGTTCGTACCATTCTGGAGGTCAGAACCCTGGAATCGAGGTTGGGGTAGGGCTGCTGTCCTTCTAGAAGCCGTAAGGGAGAGTCTGTACCTTTGTCTACTTTGCTCAGCTTCTAGGGCCACCTGCCCTCCTGGGCTCCTAGCCCCACCCTTCCCCTAATAATGTAGCATCTTCCAATTGTTGCCCTTTATTTTCATCCTGACATCTCTTTCTCAGCCTGACCCTCCTGACTGCCTTTTCTGGGATTCTTGTGATGCCATTAGTCCCACCTGGAAAATCCAGATCATGCCCCCCACTATGGGATTCTTCATCAGAAGAAAAGGCACAATCTTCCTTGCCTTATAATATGATGCCAACCACAGGTTCCAGGGATTAGGATGGGACATCTTTTGGGAAGCTCCAGTTAGCAAACACTTACCTAGCTCACCACGTTCACTGATTCATTTATTCTGACAAGCCTATGTTAGGTGTCCACAACCGTTAGGGGTTTACTGTGATTATGTCATTGGTCTCAGCCTCACAGCAGCCTGTAGGGAGGGAAACAAGCAAGAGGCCTGAAGAGTTTCATTTCCTCATCAGTGCAGTGGGTCGGAGCCTGCTCACGGGCACACTGTAAGTGTTGGGTGACAGCTGGGACCTGGTCTGTACTGGTTAGCTTCCCTGTAGCTGAGACACAATACCCAGTGACTTGAAGGAGGAAAGGTTGAATGTAGCTCACGGGTTCAAGACATTCAGTCCATGGTCTGCTGGTTCCAAGACAGAAACATCATGGCTGTGGGGCATACAGAGCAAAGCTGTTCTGTTTATGGTGTTTAGGAAGCAGAGCAGGGCAGCAGCCCTGGAGAGGAATAGGCAAGGGACAGACATTTTGCCAGGGTCACACTTCCATGACCCACCTAGACACACCCAGGAACTCGCTTCGCTAATCTGCTAGGCATTCTGTTCCTTAATCCCATGAAGCTGCCGAGTCAGGATGGACGGTCACAGCAGAAAAGCCCAGGGTGCCGCCTCCGCATCTCAGGTCACCCTGGACATCCTGGGGCTTCCAGGTTTTCAGCCCATTTTGCTCTTTTGCCCTGAGGATCCCCCAGCTCCTCCCTCGTGGCACCTCCTGTGTTTCAGATGAAGGAGGAGCGCTTCCGGCAGCTGTTTGCCGCCTTCGGCACCCTGACTGACTGCAGCCTAAAGTTCACCAAAGATGGCAAGTTCCGCAAGTTCGGCTTCATTGGCTTCAAGTCGGAGGTGGAGGCCCAGAGGGCGCTGAGCCATTTCAACAAGTGCTTCATTGACACGGCCCGCATCACAGTGAGTCGGGCGCACGAAGCTCGCCTTTGTTGCCTGTCCAGAGCGATGCCAGTGGTCTGTCCCTCCACACGTGGTCCCAACTCTGTCCTCTTCAGACTGTGTGGTCCCACGCTTTCATGTGTGTCCCATTCCCTGGGCGTTGTTAGGGCTGTTAGCCAGGCGTACCCCTGGGGTTACTCAGCAAGCAGAGGTGGGGCCCGAGAGCGCGTGTGGCACAGGCTCTCAGAGGACGCCTGGCAGCTGCGCTAGGACCACACTTTGGGAAGCACAGGCGTGGACCCTTAAGCTGCCCGAGTCCAGTGCCATCAGAGCTGTGGCAGGGCAGCACCGGGGACCTGAGGAGCAGCAGGCCTTCTGGTCAGGGAGGAGTCAGGCAGGCTTCCTGGAGGAGGGCGTCCCGCTCGGCTCCCTCATGTGCATTTAATGACGTGGTAAAGCATCTCTCATGCTTTGTCGACAAGGAAAAAACCAGACAGACAAGTGTACATCCATGATTGGATTCAGCACCTCCAGGTCTGTTGGTCGTTGGTCTCTGTGCATGACCTGCGGCAAGGGCTGCTGCTAGGGTTTTCACCAAGTTGCGTGACCCCTCTCTAGATGGCAGGAACTGGGTCGACTGTCTTGTAACTCCCACTGCACTCTTTTCCACTGTTTGGTTTGTGTGCCATGAGCACATCTCTGTACAGTTGCTTGGAAAGGCCACACTAAGGAGCAGAGCTAGATAGCTGTCTCTCTCCCTGCGAAAGTGGTTGGCCAGCGAGCGTCAGAGTGTCACTTGGGTGTCACTCAGAGTGGCTGAGGTGGCAGTGCCCGGCAGAGCCAGCCCTCCCAAAGCCTGCCTTTGAGAGTGCACTTCAGGGTTAGGGCCCGAGAAGTACATGGGCTTCATGCTCAGTGGTCTTCCAAGCCCCCACGGTCACCCTGCTTTCCCCATTGCCCTAAAACTGTTCTCTGGGGCCAGCCGAGCTTTGCCTCATGTGATCAGAATAACCTGGCACCTGTGGCCGGGTTCATGTCATGGCCATCTTTTGGTGTGGTCAAGTAAAAAGCTTGGACTCCCTATTCCTGAGACACCCTGCGGTCCTGTGTGCACCCTGTCCCGTGCTCCCTGGGTCACTCGGGGCAAGTTACTTTCTGTCTCTGTGCTTTGGTTTTCTGGTCTGGGAATGCGAGAGGAGGAGGCCCAGCATACCCACAGTGGACACTCGGAGAGCACTCAAGTCAGTGGCCACGGGAGGGTTCCTAAGAAGGGACTTAAAATGACTTTACAGGGACACAGCCAAGGCCCAGGGTGATAACATCCAATTTGCTTCCATTAACTCAAGTTAGTGGCAGCTGCCTGTCTATGAAGTCCAAGCCTCCCGATGCCGTGACAGCTGTAACAAGCACCCCGTTTTCCCTCTCAGGTGGAGTTCTGCAAGTCCTTTGGGGACCCGACAAAGCCCCGAGCCTGGAGCAAACATGCCCAGAAACCCAGCGAGCCCAAGAAGTCTCAGAAAGACTCTGCTTGCCCAGAAACTAAGAAAGTACGCAGGTGTCGCTCCCTTTCCACCCGGTGTCAGCAGGGTGGTCCCTCCCCAGGGCAGGGCAGGGCAGGGCAATCCCGGCTTCCTTTCCCTGTGTGACCCTCGCTGGCTGTGCCTTCTGCTTTTAGGAGAAGAAGAAAAGGGAGCCGAGTGAACTGGAGAAGGTGAGCGAGTGTCCCATTCACGGAGAGGGAGGGGCTGGCCAGGATGCTGGGCGCTGTGTCTGTGGTTTCTGTCTGCCTTCCACACCTGGCCCTCGGGTCCACTGGAGGTCGGGGGGCGCGAGCTCGGAGGATGCTCTTCCCCTCCTGAGAGTGAGGAAGGCCGAGCCTGTCTGAGCCGGCTCTGCCTCTTCTCTCTCCTCCCCCATCCCTGCGGCATCAGCTGAAGGAAGACACCGAGTTCCAGGAGTTCCTGTCAGTTCACCAGAAGAGGACGCAGGTGGCCACATGGGCCAACGATGCGCTGGACACTGAGCTCCCTAGAGGGAAGGGCAAGTCAGCCAGCGACTACCTGAACTTTGACTCTGACTCCGGGCAGGAGAGTGAGGAGGAGGAGGAGGAGGAGGAGGCAGCAGGGGAGGAGCTGGAAGGTGAGGCCGGTGCTCCATGCCAGGGTGTGTGCCTGGCCTGGCCTGTGCCTGCCATCGGGCTGACGGGCACCAGGGTGCCCTCTGTCACACCCAGGATGGGCAGGCCGGACACTGCCCTCGAACCCCCTCCAGTGGGCGATTACCGCAGGGACCTCCGCCCTGACTAATCTTGTCACTTGCTAGGTCAGTCAGTCTGTCACTCATCAGGCAACGCACAAATGTCCTCCTTTATACAAAGTGTACTGTATGCAAAGGGTACAGAGTAAGTAGCAAATTAGTAGAATGAGCAGGTTTGAAGACCTAATGTACAACATGAGGACAGTCGTTAGAACTAGTGTATTTACTCAGGATTTTTGCAAAACAAGTAGATTGCTACTCACTAGGTAGTAGGTGGCTGCCTCTACCACGGGGCAGAAACAGATTACTATACAAGGGACTAATTGCTTCCACTACGGTAACCATTGTATTGACAGTGTGTGTGACGTGTGTGCATTTTAATACAGTCATCTTTTCGAAAGAGATTAAATCAGCTGGGCACAGTGGCACATGCCTGTAAGCCTTGCACCCAGGATGCTGAGGCAGGAGGTTCATGAGTTCAAGGCTAGCCCGGGCTGCATTGAATTCACAGCCAGACTGGACTAAGTAGTAAGGCCCTATTTAAAATACAAATGAAGGGCCGGGGATTTAGCTTAGTGGTGCTGCCACCTGCCTCGCAAGCACAAGGTCCCAAGTTCGATCCCTGGTACCAAAAAAAAAAAATACAAATGAATGACTAAACAGTGGCCATAAAAGGACACAGAAAGGCTGGTGATGGGGAGCCATAGAGCTCTCGGTGCTCCTTATCGTATGATTTATTGGAGCCTCTGGGCACAAGCCCTGGTCATGCTGGGTGTGGCACCGAGGGCCACCTGGCCCCTGCTGTCCTATTTGCTGGTGAAGGTCGTGACCCTGGCCTTGCTGCTTTTCCAGGGGAGCAGGACCTCAAGCCCAAGGCAGCTGTGCAGAAGGAGCTGTCGGACATGGACTACCTGAAATCCAAGATGGTACAGGCTGGCTCAGTCTCTTCCCTGGAGGAGGAGAGTGAAGATGAAGCCATGAACTGTGATGAAGAGAGTGAGGCCAAAGAAGAGGAGGAAACAGAGCGCAGGGCGGCCAGCCCGGGACACAGGGCCCCACCTGAGCATGGGAGACCCCAGGACTCCAGAGCTGAGGTGCGTGTGCATCTTGGGGACAGAGGGACAGAGGGAGTATGGAACTGCCGACCGGAGTTGAGGGGCGGAGGTGAGCTAGTGAGGGCCAGGAGTGGGTCACCCTTCCTGTTCAGCGACACGGCAGACTGATGGGAATGGGCTCGTCACACAGAGTGGTAGATAAGATTAGTCGAGAGCTTGCTACCAGCCAGGCCTGGAACCCGCAGGTCCTTGTGTCTCATCACAGTCCTTGGGGCAGGTGTCCTTGTCCCATCTCACAGGTGAGGAAACCAAGCCCTGGAGAAGGGAATTGACTAACACAGGAAGGTCATGGCCGGGACGGAGCGGCGTCAGGACTCAGACCCGGGGCTGCCGGGCTCTGATGTGGGGATTATAAAGCTCATGTGACCATGGAGGACAGTCTCCTTATCTTCTTATCCCCCTTATCCCCCACCAGGAGCGCTTGGGCATACAGTTCAGGGTGGGCTTTGCTGGGAACTGAGTTCAAGTCAGAGCAGGTTTTGTCCCCATGGAGTTTCCAAGAACTTGGATTTTTTTAGAGCTACTTGGATTCCAGAATTACGGGGAAAGATCCTGAACCCAGAATCCCTATGAAATTATAATAGGGATTTAGCAGGACACTGGCACCTACCAAGGGCTAGGCAAGGTGTGTGGCACTGAGGTGTCCCTGCAGCAGTGGCAGCCGTGTCGCTGTACCTCAAGGCTCCTTCCCGACCCTTCTGGCCTTCCCAGAAGCCTGGGACCCAGCACCCTTTCCGGCCCTGAGCCATCCCAGTCCACCTGCTGCCTCGGCACCAGGGAGCTCACTGAGCCCTTTCTCTCTGTTCTCTGCAATCCCTCAGTCGGAGAAACCTACAAACCAGAAAGAGCCCACCACCTGCCACACCGTGAAGCTGCGGGGAGCCCCATTCAACGTCACAGAGGTATGTGCTCACCGGGGACACGGGCAGGAGCTAAGAATGTGATCAAGAAGAAGCCCAAGGCCAGAAAGGCTGCTAGATAACATCTCAGGCACGTTATTATCTTGTCATTGCAAGGAAGCAGGGACACCTGCATCAAGACTGGCTTCATTCACCCATGTCTACCCAGGGAATGGGCAGACTTTCTATAAAGGGGACAGGGACAGCTGGTGAATATTTAAAGCCTATGGTCAGTACAGTGTGTTGCACTTCCACTATCCAGCGCGTATAACACAAAAGCAGTTAGACATGGGTAAGCAAATGAGCATGGCTGTGTTCCAATAAAACTTTATGTGTAAAAACAGGCAGCAGGCCAGATCTGGCCCATGGGCTGTAGTTTGCTGACTCTGGGTCTAAACGAGCAGAGAACACTGAATTTCCCTTCTTTTGAAAGTCATAGAAGTTCAATAGAAATTCAAAACAATGTAGCTAAAGAAAAAGAATGTAAAAATCACCTGTAGCTGGGATGACTGTGTACATCGTCAGCCCCACCAAGTGGAGAGTCAGGCTGTAGCCAGAGAGGTTGCAGGTGCAATGGCCACAGATGTGACAGCCACCTGTGCCGGGCTAGGTCGCATGGATGACACCCACTCCTACAATGGGGCCTGTCTGAAACAGTTTTTTCTTCGCATACAAACATTGACCCCGTCTTTTTATTTTCATTTGATTTTTTGGTTTAATTTTTATTAGTATGTTTACAGTATGTAATAATTACATTGCCATGCGGAGTTGGTGCCTATATATAATACATCTTTTTGCATCCCTTCCCTTTCTGTTTTTAAAAAGCATTCCTGGGCTAGGGATTTAGCTCAGTGGCACCACGCCTGCCTCGCAAGTGCAAGGTTGTGAGTTCCATCCCCGGTACAAAAAAACAACATTCCTTCAAAGGAAGTGCTGCAAAACTTCTCTCCCCTCGTCCAGATCCGTTGTAAACATCTTTGAATACCAGTGTGCTCTGCCACGGCGGCATTTTTCATGCAGCATGCTCTTCCTCCCTCAGCCTACTCTTTGATGTATTTACCCAGGATAAATTGGAAGATGGGGGCTTTTTTTGCTATTAGAAGTACTGATAGGGGCCGGTGATTTAGCTCAGTAGTTTTGCTGCCTGCCTCGCAACTGCAGGGTCCCGAGTTCAATCCCTGGTACCAAAAAAAAAAAAAGAAGTACTGATGCAGTTCTTTGCAATCAGAGATCAGCAGACTGTTTTTGTAAAGACCAGCTAATAAATAAATATTTTAGGCTTTGTTAGCTGCATCATCTCTGTCATTCTTTTTCTTTTCTTGAAAGAGTGCTTTGACAGTGTGGCGAACCATTGGCCGTACAGAACCAGGCATGGGGGGGCAGTGGCCCACGGGCTGAAGTGTGCCAGCCCTTGCCCCAGGTGAATGGTACCTCAAGTACATGCATGTGCGTTTTTAAGGCACTGACACAGAATGTCACTTGTCCCCTGGGTCCTAATGTCCCCTTTCTCACCAGAGGGTTAGACTACTCATTTCCCCAAGCGCTGTGTATTAGCATTGCTTTGATATTTACCAATATGACAGGTGAAAACGCATCGCCTTTCAGTTTATATTTTAAATTACTCGTGAGATCTGCTATCCTTTCACATTTGTAGATACGGTGTTTGTCCTTGTTTGGAAAATACTGAGCCTTTTTTCTCTCAAAGTGTTCATCTCTTTCGATAATTTGTGCATTTACAACTATAGTACTTCTCAAAGTTCTGAGAAGCAGATGCTGGGATTTTGTAAGAGTAAATTGTCTGAATTTTGGATCAGAATCCTTTCAATACCAGCCATGCAGGAAGCCACATGTTTTACTTACAAAAAAAAAAAAAAGTTAAATACTTGGAAATGTAATGTCCAGAAGTTTGTGAATTTCCTCTATACAAACAATAACGGAAAAAATAATGGAAAAAAAATTTCTTTTATATATCAACCGAACAGATAAACTAGATATTCTGACAAATGTTGCTGGGGAGAGGGGGCTGAATGGACATTCTAATGAAAGTTTGGGAGCTTCTGTGAAAAGGAAATGTGAAATTTCACTGAAAGACTTAAGAACATTTACATAAATGGAAAGCCAGACTTCATTCCCAGAATATAAAAATTCTAGTTTTTAATTAGTGAAAGAATGGAGCAGTTTGATGAGCTCACACTCACGGTGTTTGCTAACCTGGCCGATGTAGAGAGCAGGCTGCGATGTGCGGCAAGAGAGGACCCTCCCCCTACGCAGTGCTGAAAAATTATTTTAAAGCTACAGCAGTTAGAACATTGTGGTTTAGGGAAAGGGTTGACAGGTTATTGGGCAAGCCAGATTATTCTGTAAATAGTGATGCAACAAGCAGTTACCTTTTTAAAGTTTTCATTTTGTTTTGTTTTGCTTTGCTTTTTGACCTGGAATGGAACTTGGGGTGTCCTGCTGGCTCGGTAGGTGTTCTACCCTGGGCGACACCCTCACCCACTAATGTTTTTGAAGAGAAACAAAAGAATGATGAACCCTTGTCTTACTTGTGGCTACAAATTTAAGGTGCATTAAGGATGGAAGGACCTTTTTAAGCAATTTGTAAAATTTGATAGCCTTAAGGAAAAAGATTGATTACATGCCAATTAAAACTTGTTAGGCACCAAATGTCATAAATAAAGATAAACTACAAGTATTTATAGCACAACAGTAAAAAACTCTTACTTCTTTAATTTATTCATTTATTTATTGATTGATATTTAAAAATTTTTTGTGTGTTTTGACGCAGGGTCTCCCTTTGTAGTTCAGCCTGGCTCTCAACTCACTATGTAGCCCAGGCTGGCCTCGAACCTGTGGCAATCCTCCTGCCTCAGCCTCCCAAGTGCTGGGATTACAGGCATACGCCACTATGCCCAGCTTTACTTTTTAAATTTACAGATAGACATTTATAAAGGACATACAAACCAGTAGAAAAATGGACAAAGGGAAGGAGGTTTTGCAAGGAAAATGAGTTCCCATGGTGAATACAGATGTTTGAATTGGCTCACAATTATTTTTTTAAAAGAACAATAAAAAAACCTAGGTGATCATGTTTTCCACATGCCAAATTGGCAAACATTTTCAACCTTTGATGCTAAATAAACCCTTCCTTGTGCTTTTGGCTCAGCCTTTGGGAGGGTGACTTGGAACTGTGAGGATCAGGAGTGTTCATGCCTGTGCCAAGCCACTCTCTACCCAAGACCACCAACATCTGAATGCACCAGTGCTTACAACAGCCTCCTTTTGTTGCCTGTTATTTATAACTTAATGTGTTCATTTATAGTCATTTCATTTATAAAAACAAAGAACTGGAAACAGCCTTTGAGCTCCATCACTAGGGAAGTGGCTCTGTCCATGATTCACAACAGGCCATGAACTGCCCCCTCGGGAACATGTGGCCATGTGTGGGGCATTTCTGGTTGTCACAGCTGTTGGGGTGGGGCATCCAGGGAGCAGAGGCCAGGGCACTGCCAGATACCTGTAGTGCATGATCAGCTCCACAACGAAGAACCGCCAAGCCCCAGTGTCAACAGTGCCACCACTGAGAAGCCCCGGGATAACTAAACTGTGACACTGAAGCAGTAAAGTACAGTGTGTCATTGCAGCAACGCACTGCTCTTAGAAGGTGCCTAAGAATGAGAAAACCCGAAGAACTCAGTAAGAAGTAAGGGTGTAGTTCTGGTCATGGAATTATGGATGTTTCTTGTTTCCTTATTTGCACTTTTCAGTGTCTGTTAGAATATCATATCCTGTGTGTTTTGCTTTTAAAAATGTTTTTAAGTCATACCCATGTCCAAAATGGGGAGTAGTTAAGAAAATCAGGACCCAAATACAATATTACTTCAGGTTTGGCACCATAAAGTACAGTAGGACAAAGAGATCTTCATGGTTTCATGAGAAGGCCAGATTTAATCCCCAGTAAATTTTTAAAACTTCTCAGAAGATAGAAGATGCCTTAAAATACTGATGGTGACATTCCTTTTTATATTTATATTGTTAATTTCTTTCAGAATTTTCCCAAGGTAATTTTATTTTGGAATGAAGAAAAGATGCATGTAATTTTAAAGGAAAGAAGAAAAACTCTAAAGGCTGAGATGCTTTGCAGTCTTTTCTGACTTGGAGATTTGCCCCATATCTTCTTTTTTTTGGTACCAGGGATCGAACTCAGGACCTTGCGCTTGCGAGGCAGGCGGCAGAACCACTGAGCTAAATCCCCAGCCCCTTGCCCCATATCTTCTTATTAGATTGCACTTTTAGCATTGAACTGATAATGGAGAAATTTTTCTTTTTCTTACAGAAAAATGTTACAGAATTCCTGGCTCCCCTGAAGCCAGTGGCCATTCGAATAGTGAGAAATGCTCATGGGAACAAAACAGGTAAGGTCTTGGGGATGTTTGGGCGGGAGAGAGCAGGCACCCCAACCTTTTTAGCCCCAGGGATTGGTTTCAGGGAAGACAGTTCCCCACTGGCCAGGCCAGGTTCAGGCTGACTCGAGGGGCACATAGCCTAGATGCCCCATGCACAGTTCATGGTAGGGTTCCAGCCCCTATGAGAGTCTAATGCCACCAGTGACCTGGCAGGAGGCGGGGCTCAGGTGGTAATGCCAGCTTCAAAGCTTCATTTCCTCCGCTGCCATCCACCTATGTGGCCTGGTCCCTAATAGCACACAATCCATGGTGCAGGGACTGGGGACTCCTGGGTCCAGATGTGCAGGTCAGAGATCTGGGCCACTTGTTTAAAGGAAAAGGTTTAAGGAGGACAACCTTTTTTTTCCCCTATGTGTGGTCCTCAGTTCTGTGGCTGTGATTAAACTGTTTAGGACTCGTCCCTGCCCCTGGCTGCCTGGCCTGCAGTGACAGGGTTTCACCTGTGTATCTCCCTGCCCCAGCTGCTTACCCGTAGGCTCCTGTTCCCTTAGATCAACACCCACAGGTCTGTGGTCTCCGGGCCAAGTCCATGGACAGCTGTGCTCATGGGTGGGGCTCTACCTTCCGGCCCATTGCGGTGCTATCCCCACTCCGCCCTTGGCAGGTGTCCCCCATTCTCTGAGGTGGGGATCCCGGGGGAACTGGGCACTTGCCCCCAGCCTGTTGCTCGCCAGCCCAGGGGATGCAGCAGCAGAATGGCCACGTCCAGACCGAGGCCGCAGAGTCTGGCACTGCAGGGTGGTGACGTCCTTGGCAGGAAGAGGCTGCTGGGCAGAGCAATGGAGGTTTCCCAGGCAGCACTTGAGGAAGAGTGTGCGTCAGGGTTTCTGGTCCCCTTCCTGTTCTGCACTCCTTCCCCGGCCCACTCACTGGGCTGACTCCTGCGAGTGGCCTTCCTGCTCTCTTTGTACACTCACTTGGATGCAGTGGGGAGCAGGAGAAAGATCCCAGTCTTCTGAGCTTGGGCAGAGGACACAGCCTCGGTGTCCGTGTCCCAGCAGTGGGCTGAGCCTGTGTCATCCTTGGGGGGAGTCAGAGCTAACACTGGGACAGTGCTGAGCACCGACGTGAGCCCTGTGAGAACCACTGTGAATGTCAGTGGTCCTGGTGCTGGTGGTCGTGGGGACCAGACAGGAAGCAGAAGGGAGCATGTTGGAGTTGCCCAGGCTGAGAGAGAACCATGTTGGGGCCGCTGCTGGAGAGCACTGGCATGGAGCAGCTCACTTTGAGGGTCACCAGCGTCCCTGCCGAGGAGCTGGGACAGGGCAGGCCAGGCCCTCGGGCCTTGGCAAGGGTGGGCTGTGGGCAGATCAGCATGGTCCCTGGCAGGTGGGGCGGCCTGGAGCAGGGCCTGCGGAGGCTCTGGCACTCCTGATGCAAGCTGGGCCCTGTGACTGGGGGGGGGGGGCGTGGAGGATGTTTATGGGGTGGATGAGGTGCGTGCGTGGGGGCCGAGGGAGAAGGGACCGCGAAGGAAGTGAAAACACCCTCGTGAAAGAGGCAGAAACCCCACGGGCTTTGGACCAGGTTCCAGCATTGCCACCACATAGCCCTATGACCCTGCATGTGTCACCTAACGCGCCCAGTGAGGGGGGGGCATGCGAGACCCAGCAACCCCTGTTTCTGCACAAGTCGGGCCTCAGGAGCTCGGGGAAAGGGTCTCAAAGGTGACTCCTGGCGCTGAGCTGGGCCCAGCGCTGCCACCGCAGGGGGAGAATGTGGTAGGTGGGAGGGGGCTGGGAGGAGGCCGAAGACCTGTGTCTCTGACTCCTGGGGCCCAGCGCCTTCAGCCACAAACCAGGCCTTGGGGTTTGAATGCGCCCTCCTGGGGGGCTGGGCTGGCCTAGGCAGCATCTGTTTGTTGTTGGAGATTTAGCAAAGACAGGGGCCCCCCACTGTGTACCCAGCACAGGGCGGGCATCCCTGTGACTCCCACGAGCGTCCCAGGTCTGCAGAGCTCACCTTCGCCGTCGTCCTCTCTCAGGGTACATCTTTGTGGATTTCAGCAGCGAAGAAGAAGTGAAGAAAGCGCTGAAATGCAACCGAGAGTACATGGGTAAGGAGCACCAAGTGGGAGTGGTCACAGAGCGTGTACGTGTTTGTTCCTGTGTGTGTGTGCATGTGTGTGCATGTGTGCATGCACTGAGCACTCTCTGCCAGGCACTGCTGTGGGCACCGGGAGTACAACAGTGAGCAAGGGGACCACAGTCCCTGCCCCTGCGGCTGCCACGGCAGGGAGATGGGCAGTGAGGAGTAAAGGAGCAGCCGCTGCATGGGGGGAAGCAGACACACGAGGCTCCCGAGGCCCGCAAGGGTGGAGACGGCACGTCTATAACAGGAGCACATCTGCTGTGGCCTGGCTGAGGGCTGACAGTCCCAGAGTTGGGTGGATGCGATCTCTGATCTATCCTTGGTCTGGAAGCGATTGGATCCTGCCGGTTTTCTCGGTATCAGCAGTTCAGGTGGGAGGTATCCTTGAGCTCCTGGGTGTGTGTGGGACACAGGTGATAGGTGAGCTACTTAAACACATGGACGCAGCGGCAGTTCAGCAGCAGGTGTAGTAGTTATCCAGGGTCAGGTTGTCCCTGAGACCCGTCCCTCGGCACAGCAACCACCAGTGCCAGAGATCGGGCCGCAGAACTCAGGACACGTCCCTGGGGTCTGGGGTGGCCCAGGTGGGCTCCCCTGGGTCACGGCTGCACCGCATGATGAGTGAGGTCCCTCTGTCCCCAGTCCGTCCTCGCTCACCTTGGCTGTGGCATCTGGAAGGTAGCATAGAAGAGCTGGACTCGCCGGCCAAGGTGTCTGTAGTTCGGGGGATCCCCAACCCCAGCCCTGACCCCTGCCCTCTCATAGGTGGGCGCTATATCGAGGTATTTAGGGAGAAGCAGGTCCCCATGGCCAAGGAGCCCCTGAAGAGCAGCACCAAAGCTTGGCAAGGCCGGATGCTCGGGGAGAACGAGGAGGAGGAGGACCTGGCCGACTCCGGGAGGCTCTTCGTGCGCAACCTGCCCTACACCAGCACTGAGGAGGACCTGGAGAAACTCTTCTCCACCTACGGTAGGCGGCCCCTCCAGGCCACCGAAGCCCAGCGGCAGATCCCCAGTGCCCAGACATGGGCCTCCGACACAGTCCTGGGCCCGGTCCTGGCCTCGGGCAGGGGCTCCTGACCTCCAGCCTGGCTCTCCTTTGTCCTGTCTGTCATAAGGGGCTCCCTGTCCCTGAGCTGCCACAGGCTCAGTGTTGTCTTCAGCCGTCCGAACTCAAACTCTGCACTTTTGCTCTCTCGACGCCAAGCTGCAGGGGTGGAGCCGTTTTCCTTGCTGGCCACATCCTCGCCTCTCCATGCCCCTGGCCAGGAAACCTCCACTGCCTAAAGTCTTCCTGTGCAGCCCAGCTGTCGGCAGTGGGGGCTGGTTCTGTGCTCGTCCCACTGTCATTCTCAGGCCGAGAACTTGGGTGCCTATAGCTCAGCTTGGTCACACCGGGTGCACGGGCGTCAAAGGGAAGGAACACGGGGGTCAGAGAGGGATGAGGGCTTGGCGCCCGAGAGGCCGTTCTGGGTGCTGGAGGGTCAGAGGGGCTGCTCGAGTGCAGAGGAGGGCCAAGAGGCCCCGAGTTGTGGGCGTGGTGCCCTGCATGGGACCTGCTGGCAGGCAAGGGGGCGTCATCTCCGTCTGGTGTCCACCCTCTCCTCACCAGCTTCTTCCACATGGGCTGAGGCCCCAGTTTCGGCTGCAGAGCTGGCCAGGGGGAGAGGCTTTGTCCGGAGATGCCAGGTGTCCACTGGGGAAGACAGAGCCAGAGGGGACGTGGCTGCTCCCTGGACCATACTTTGAGTGTGACGAGCTCCGCCTGGCACTTTCAGGGCACGGAGGACAGCAGGGGTGCAGGCACATCGCGTGTCACCGGTTAGCGCGTTCCACCCTGGCGGCCACTCTCCTGCCGCGGTTTAGTGAGAAGCCGATGCCTGTGCCTTCCCTGAGGCAGCCACCATGCACTGTAGGCGCCTCACCCTGCGCTCTCAGGACAGACAGCAGGGCATATCGGGTGACACCCTTGGCCTGGAGCTTGGTCACCCTGGGCCAAGCGGCCTCAGTGACCCCAGCAGCTGTCCCGTGCTCTTAGGGTCACCCCAATTCACAGGGGACTGATGTGTCTCCTGTCCTCAGGGCCCCTGTCAGAGCTGCACTTCCCCATCGACAGCCTGACCAAGAAGCCCAAGGGCTTTGCCTTCGTCACCTTCCTGTTCCCAGAGCATGCCGTGAAGGCCTACTCGGCGGTGGACGGGCAGGTGTTCCAGGTGAGGGGCTCGGGCGGCCGGAGGCCTTGGCTGTGTGTGCCTGCGTGCACGTGTCTGGGTTTTGGGCCTAACAACCCGCAGCAGCCTGCCAGGCTGCGACCTCCAGAGAGCTGCTGCGGGCTTACGGGTGCGACCTCCACAAGGGCGGGGTCTGTTCCCCTCGCTGCTGTGCGGTGCCTAGAACAGCACCTAGCACAGAGTGGGCCCTGAGGACTGGTTGAGTGAATAAACGTGATTTTTGCTGCCAGAAATACCTCCCTCGGTGAGCGAGGAGGGTGTCTGCCAGGCTTGGTGGTGCACGCCTTGTAATCCCAGCACTCTGGGAGGCTGAGGCAGGAGGATCACCAAGTTCAAGCCCAGCCTGGGCAATTTAGTGAGACCCTGTCTCAAAAATTTTAAAAGGGGAGCTGGTGGCTGGGTATGTAACCCAGTGTGAAGGCCATGAGTTCCATCCCCAGTACTGCCGAATAAAGAGAAAGAAAGGCATCTGCCATGGGCGAGGACAGTGACGGCTTAGGGTAGTGTGGGACGCTGTCCTCTTCCCGGTGTCCCCAGGGGAAGGGCTTAGCTCACCCAGATCCCCAGGCTGCCTGATCCCCAGGCTGCCTCGTCATACTTGGTCCTTTTCTTCTTCCTTTCTTTTGTGGTCTCCAGGCCACGAATTCTCACATGCATGGGGCGGGGCTGGGCCGCTGTAGGCGTTGCTCGGCCGCTGTAGGCGTTGCTCGCACAGTACAGGTTTCCTTCCCTCATCCTTACCACCCCAGGCAGCCTGGGAGCAGCCACACGGTCACCCTGCTGGCGTCCCCGCCCCGCAGTCCCAGTCCTCAGGGGCTTTCCTTTACCCCTCGCCCCACCCCTGCAGGGCAGGATGCTGCACGTGCTGCCATCCACCATCAGGAAGGAGGCCAGCGAGGAGGCGGGCGCCCCGGGATCATCTTACAAGAGGAAGAAGGACTCCAAGGACAAAGCCAACAGTGCCAGGTCCCTCTCAGCAGGCCGTGCCCTCTGAGCCCCTTTGCCCGGTCCTTTCACTGTCCACAGTGGGTTTAGTCCAGAGCCTCGGTGTCTATCTGTGAAATGGGGCAGGCGGTGCAGTGCCTCAGTTGTGCAGTGTCGTGTGGGACGAGCCCAGCCCAGAGACGGTGCTTGACACCTTAGGGCCAGCCAGGCCCGCTGTCTGTCCCAGCCTCAGGCCTGTGTACTTAGCCAGGACGCATGTGTTGGGGGAGGGAAGCCCGACCCGGAGCCGTAGCTTTTTCGCCTGAAAATCCCCGGTCCAGCCACCCCATGACCCCGCCTGCCTCTGTCCCTCAGCTCCCACAACTGGAACACGCTGTTTATGGGGCCGAACGCCGTGGCCGACGCCATCGCACGCAAGTACAATGCCACCAAGAGCCAAGTGTTTGACCACGTGAGTGGGGGCGTGTGCGCGCATGCGTGAGTGTATGCTTGTGCATACTGGGTCTCCACACATCCTATTTTCAAACGCACATATCAGGCAGTAGACGCCTGCCGATGACTCTCAGACCAGACCCGGGAGTGTTCCCAGCCAGGTGACGGAGGCGTCCTCCCCAGACACCCAGGGTCAGTGCTGTCAGAAGTGGAGCGCACGCCACCTCTGTGACTGAGTATCCCGGTGGCCGCGTTGCAAACAGGCAAAAAGAAACAGGCAAAATTATGAATGATTTTAATAATACGTTTTACTTAATATATCCAAAATATTACTTCAACATAGGGACAATGTTAAAAAAATTTCATTCTTTTTTTCATATTAAATCCAGGGTATCTTTCAAAGTCAGCACAGTGCTGATTTGAACTTGTCCCGTTTCCAGTGCGCTGTGGCTCTGTGGCTTGTGGCCTAAGTCTGGAGGAGGGGTGTAAGGGTACCGCAGTCCCCTCTGAGCCATAGCAGGCCATCAGTGCCGGGACAGGGAGGTCCCCACCTAGTGCCTTGTAACGGGGAAGACCCTGACCATGAACAGAGTGAAGAACAGTGACCTCCAGGGCAGCATAGGCAGCAAGGGTGGGCAGGCAGTCAGCAGGGCAACACAGGAGCAGGAACTGTGGGATGAGGGGCTGGGGATAGGAGCCCTCTGAGACCCACATCCTGAGCTCTGAGGGGACAGCAGGCTGAGCGGGCAGGGGCAGCAGAGATCCGCCACCTGGACAGAGAAGGCAGCGCGGGAAGGGGAATCTGCAGAGGGGACTGTGAAGTCCCGGATGTACTGTATATGTCACGGGGAGCCAGACCCACAGCGCCGCTGACCGAACCATTGCTCCTGAGCCTCCTCGGCGGCTGGTTGAGGAGGCAAGCAAATCAACTACCTGACAGGCCGCGAGCGTCTTCCTTTCCTCCTCCCACAGGAGACCAAGGGCAGTGTGGCGGTACGTGTGGCCCTGGGGGAGACCCAGCTGGTCCAGGAAGTGCGGCGCTTTCTCCTAGACAACGGGGTCTGCCTGGACTCCTTCAGCCAGGTGGGTGCTCGCTGCCCCTCCAGCAGGCTGCCATGGGAGCCTTATTTATTTCGGGGGAATCCTGCAGGCTGGGTCCTCATAAGTGTTCTACCCAAAGGACAGGGTACCCCAACTCCTGGGCTGCTCCAGGTTGAGCGCCTGGGCACCTCCTGCTTCCCACAGCCTTGGCAGCAGTAGGCAGGAAGAATCCCTGGGCACTGAGGCACCGGACTTGGTCATGGGAGGCCTGTCTGGGGTGTCCTGGGAGGTCCAGCTGGGGCCGTGGTGGGCCCTGTTGGATCTGTGTCTCACAGCGCAGGGGCTGGGATTAGACTCATGAGCCACTAAGCCGTGAGCTCCACCCGCCGAGAGCTGCCCCTCGTCCATGGAACCAGTGAGGCCGAACACCACTGGTCCATGCTGGTGCCAGGCTGAGGAGCCCCTCCTCTGGCCCACGCATGACCTCGACCCCGCCACCCCCCAACTCTGCAGGCCGCAGCAGAGCGAAGCAAGACGGTGATTCTGGCCAAGAACCTTCCAGCAGGCACCCTGGCAGCTGAGCTGCAGGAGACCTTCGGCCGTTTTGGCAGCCTGGGCCGCGTGCTGCTGCCCGAAGGTGGCGTCACAGCCATCGTGGAGTTCCTGGAGCCCCTGGAGGCCCGCAAGGCCTTCAGACACCTGGCCTATTCCAAGGTAGGGCTGCCGAGCCACAGCCTGTGATGGGCAAAGATGGAGGGGTGCTCCAGGCTCAGGGGTACAGGAGCTGCCGGGCTGAGGGAGCTCAGCCAGAACCCAGCATCTCTGTGTGATCCTGAGTATCCTCCTAGCTGCCAAGCACCTCGGAGAGCACGCATGGCTCCCACCAGCTCGGGCCTTCACTCCTAGCCTTCCCGTTCCTGGGCCACCTTGACATCATCCTTGCTGCCCTCGCTGCACTGTACCTCCAGGAGAGCAAAGGCAGCGCTGTTGCTGCACCTGTTTCCTTATTCTTGGATATAAGAAAGAGAAACAATAACAGTAGGTTAGTTTCCTGGGGCTGCCCTAACCAGTTACCATGAACTCAGCAGCCTGCAGCAGCACGAATGTCTTCTCCAGCCAGAGTCCTAAGCCGAGGCGTCTGTGGGCCAGGTTCCCCGAGGCTCTGGGCACAGTCTGTCCCCTGCCTCTTCCTGCTCCCGGTGGCTCCTGGTCCCCCTGGCCTGTTGCACCCTGAAGGCTCTGCCTCCCCTTCCCACATCCCCTTCTCCTCTGGGTCTAGCGTCCCTCTGGGTTTCTCTTAACAGAACACTTGGGATTTGCATCCCACCCTGATTGGGGTTGCCCCCCTTTTCGTCCTCTGCTACCTTGGGAAGAAACTCAGTCACCCAAACGCTCTTGCAGTTGTGAGCAACAGGGCAAGGGCAGACTGGACAAGGCTGTCTTTACGTTGACGGTGTCTGTTGCGCCTGCTCCTCCCCTCAGCATCGCTGTCCCCACTTTGCACGTGGAGCAGCCGAGGCCCAGTGGCCCCGAGCCACACAGCTAGAGTGCTGGAGCCAAGCGCCCGCCTGTCTCCCTCCTGTGCCCGTGTGTTTTCTTAAACGTAATGAACTTGTGAGGCCTGCGTGTGGTGTGGAATCTGAAGATTCTCAAAGGGCATAGTTGCCAGGGTTCCCTGCCACACGTCCTGCCGCTACACAGTTGCCTTCGGAGGCTGCTGATTTCAGTGTCTCGTTTAGGCTTTAAACACACCATGCGTGTACATGCATTGGGCCTCCCCCTTGAGCCCCAAGATCAGCACAGGCCTGGGTGTTTTTCTCAGGCTGTGGTCCTCCCCTGGCTCTAGGCCCTGATGAATCACAGTCCCGTCTGACCCTCGAGCTCTTCCTCTGCAAATGGGCCGAGGGCTGCAGTGAGGACCGCAATGTGGACACCCCTCTCTCCGCAGTTCCACCACGTGCCCCTCTATCTGGAGTGGGCTCCCATCAGCATCTTCTCCAGCACAGCCCCGCAGGAGAAAGCACCCCAGAATCCACCAGCAGAGCCTGCAGGAAAGGACAGGGCGGAGCCAGAGGCCGGTAAGAGCAGGTCTGAGCTCAGGGTACAGAGGGATGGAAGGGCGAGGGACAGTGCAACATTGTTCACCGGGCCCCCAGTTCAGGCCAGCAGGGCTGAGTCCCGCTGTGTCATGGAACATCAGAATATGGGTGCTGCATAAGGCAGCCAGTTTTTAGTTTGTCAGTTAGAGGTGATGAGGAAGAAAACCCTCAATCTGTTAAGAGGGATTCCAGGCAGAGCAAATGGAAACCACCTCTTTGATAGTTGGTCCAGGGGCCTGGAAATGACACTCTGGCGTCCTTACACAGCACCCCCTGGTGTCCGGTGGCTGCGAGGCAGGAAAGGAAAGAGCAGTGGCGCCATCCTTGGCATTTGAGGCAGGACAGTGGCTCCTGTCTGGACTGCTGTGCAAACGCCAGACCTTCCTCACCCTGGACCTCACCCAGCACATGTCAGCAGTGCCCTGATCACTCCCCTACAGTGCCAGGTGCCAGCTGGGGTGGCGTGGCCTGCAGAGAGAACCGCTGAGTCTGGGACCATGACTGTCTCGCAGTCAGAGCCTGGAGGAGGGTCGCCGTTCTTACCCAGGCACTAAGTTCTTAGCGTTAGTGACGGCTCCCCAACAGGGCTCCCTAATAAGCCCCGTCTGCTGTCTCCATTGTTCTCATGGATTTCTGAAAAACAAAAAGAACATGAAAAGAATGTTTTCACAGCAAAAAGATGGTGGAGAAGCAAAATTGTCAGAGGTGAGATCCAAATCGAGTGTGAGCCCTGTCCTTGTCCACCCGGCTGGTGCCGTCTCCTTGCGGGTGTCGGGCCCAGCCCGGCTGGTACAAGGCATCTGGGAACCGCGGGTCTGGAGGCCTTGTTCTCACGAGCAAGGAGAGCTCTTGGGCCACTTTGCTCTTTGACAGTCCAAAGTATCCCAAGCCATTGGGTCAGCAATGACTTAGTAGAACCCTAAGGCCCCCCCAGCCCTGTTTACGAGTCAGCTTCGGCCAGTTTGGGTGAGGATTTCTTTCAGACCCACTCGTGCTGCCATCAGGAAATTTTCTGTGTGATCCTGGTTTGTTCCTGATCAGCTGTGACCCCTCCCTTGGTTCTTGGTTCTTGGTTAGGTTCCTACCTTTGAACCTGCATAAGCTCCTGTGGCCCGGAATGAGTTGTTTGAAACACAGAGCTTGGCCAGGGTTTGGGGTCCGAAGACGAGCCTGGCAGGGGCCTCTTCTCCGCTGATGTGGCTGCTATTCCTAGGCAGCCACTTCCGCATGACCAAACACTCCTGTGGGCTCCCGGTGACTCCCCCATTTACTGTGTTGTGTTCTGCTGACACCTCGGCGTGTGTATTTACTGTTTGTTGTGCTTGTTTTGAATTCTTGTCACACCTGCCCATGTGGCTCGAGCTCCTGGCACACGTGAGGTTTACAGGTCTGGGGTCGTTAGCCAGCCTCAGAGCGCTCATGGTGGCGGCCACACCACCAGTCACCGTAACAGAAGCGGCTCCTGTTTTGCCGCCCCAAGAGCTCCTTGATTGTGTCTCTCACGCCTCTCACTTCCTGGAGTGGCAAAGCTTCTGAGTTCATTTGCACTCGAATGTTGCTGGCACTGCCCCACCTTTCCGACCGCAGTGCCTGGGAAGGTGCCAACCTGGAAGGGGCGCTGTGCCCATGGCGGGAGCAGCTTTGTGTCTTCATTCCATGGGGCTCAGGCACAGTCAACCCTGTCCTCCCTGGCTCTGTAACCAGGCGAGCGTCGCCTTTGGAGGCTCAGTTTTTGTGTCTAAAACGGGGCAACAGCCACATGGCTCCTGGGGGCCTCGGCGAGGGTGTGGGGAGATGCACCGTGCAAATCCCCTGTCCTCCCATGGGCTGGGAGCTGGGCAGCGGCCGCCAGAGTGCAGAGGTGACAGAGAGACCTCTTCCCTTTGTGGCGTCTGCCCCAGGAGCTGCCTCCTGGGGCTGGTGTGAGTGGGCGCAGGTGGGCCTGGGTGCAGACCCAACGTGAGGGGAGTCATCTCCAGGCCAGGGACTCAGGCCCTGGAGTCAGAGGGGCCGCTGGCCGGACGAGGGCGCAGCTGCCCGCCAGGTTTGGGCCCTGAAGTTGTGCGGGTGTGCGCTTAGGCCGACCCCCGCCAGCCTCGGGCCCCGCCTTAGCTTCCGTTGGCCCTGTTTGCTCCTTCCTGCGTGTCTCCTGCGTGGCCCCTCCCTGTCCCTGGTCCCCTCAGCCTGCCTCTTCGTCTGCTCCTCCCCACCCCTGCCTCCACACATGTCCCCTGATCCCACTCCCCTTGGTTCACGTTGTCACCGGCTCCGCAGGAGGGAGGGGCGGAGCTTCTCACCCCCTGCTCCCGGCACCTCCTTTTCTCCGTGCCAGCCTCCAGGGAGGGGGTTTCGTGTTTTATCTCCCCACAACCAAGACCCTCACCTCCAGATAAAGGGCTCAGCATGGGGGGAGCTCCGCAAAGCTGCTCGCCACTGATAACAGTCTCTGCTGCCAGCCCGGCCCGAGAGCCCGGCGAGGGGCGGGGGCGAAGCATTCTGCGGCCTGATTAGAATACGGCCCCATGTGGCGGTGCATGACTGGATTTGCCTGCGCCGGCCACAGACGGACACGCGGTCCCCTGCCGCTCCCAGCCCCCCACCGCGCGTCCCCCGCCCCAGCCCAGCCCTGCCTCCTCTCACTTCCCCCCCCCTCCTCCTGGGTCCTGGTGATTTGGTTGGCAAACATCTGTTTGAGTTTCACAATACCTTATTTTTCTCTCTCCTCTTTTGTCTCCCCACTTGGGGCCAGGAGCAGAAGTACTTTTTAAACAGACTTTTGGCTTCATCGCCTGGCGCTTGGCTGTGTTGCATCCCCCTGGACCCAGGCATGGACCACAGCAGGGCTGGCCGGGGCACTTGGGAAGCTCAGGGTGGCCGGCAGGGCCGTGGTTCCCTGGCCGAGGAGGTGTGGTGCTGGCTGAGGGAGGGGAAGGACAGCCTGAGTCCTCTGTCCCTTAGAGCTAGGGCTTCCCACCCTCTCCCCTCGGCCTTTTCAGCAAGGCTGGCAGGGCAGCTGGGGTGATGCGGAGAGTGAGGACAGGGTCGGTGACTTCCGTGGTGCTCACCGCAGGCCAGGCAGGTGCTGTCCTAAGGCCTGTGTGCTGTAGTCCTCGGGAGCATCCTCCAGGAGGCACTGTTGTCATTGTCCCCGATCCTGGATGGAGAAAAGGGAGCAGAGACAGGTTGAGAGTGAAATTAGGTGTTAAGCCCAAGCCTGAGCTCTTCCCTGAGATCCCGAGGCATCCAGCCGAGATCAGGCCTGAAGGAGAAGTCTGATCAGCCTCTCCTAAGCGCGGTGACTGTTCACAGCTGTGCTGCATGCCGCATGTTCGTTGTCCACGTGTTTCTGAAGCGTGAGCTCCGAGCCTGGTGCTGGGGGTGCAGCTGCCCCTGGTGTGCCTGGGGCCGGTCCTCAGGGGCTCCCTCGCCATCAGAGTGCCTCTTCCACTTCCAGCCTATTGGGTGGGGTGTTGGTCGACGCACTGGACCTTGGAGAAGCCGGGGAGCCCCAGGCTTGGCCAGCCACACACCCCAGGTCCTAGGCTCCCGCCATCCTCCCAGTCCCCGCTCCTGGGCTGGGGCTGAGGGTGCTGACCTGCCAGGGCAGGGACCCATCCATTCCTGGGGTGCTGACCCCAGCCATTGCTCAGCTCAGCTCTGTCACTAAAGCCAAGCGTCACCTCTCCCTGGGCCGGTGCTGGAACCATGCGGACAGGGTGCTGACCACTCCGGCCATGCTGAGGGCCTGGGGACAGTGGAGCAAGGGCATCAGTCTGCCAGAGGCAGGGAGCGGCTGATTTGTTACCACTGCTGCTATAAAAGCCACAGTGCCACTGTGTTGACACCAAGATTAAAAACTTTTCCCCCAAAAGCTGGATTTTTCAGCTTCTTGCTCTGAACTTCTGGCCACACAGAGCCAACCATGTGGCAGCCATCAGCCAGTGTCGAGGGAGGTGATGGCTGTGACCCTGTCACCATCATCCCTGACACTCCGTCTCCATAGAGACCCTTTCCCTCCCTGGGATCTGGGATTCCAGTGCGGCAGCCTCCAGCACGCCCCTCCAGCCCCGTGTCTGGGAGCCCGGCCTCTTTGGGTATGAAGGGGACAGAGCACTTGAGGTCCAGAGCGGAGATCTGATCGGCCTCCCTCCCATATCTCCGTGATGTCAGATGCCAAGGAGACCCTGTTGGGTGGGACTGTCACTCTGCCTGAAGGTCACTGTTTCCTTCTTGATCAGAGTCCTTATTTGGGACCTGAAGTCGGAGCTCTTTGCATAGCTTCGCCTCCTGTGGTTGGTAATGCTGTTTCCTGTACTTGGCTCTGAACATCGGCTTCTGAGTACAGATGGCCCCACCGCAGAGTCTCTCGGCTGGGGCGGAGCCTCTGTGGAGATTCCTCTTTTCGTCCTGCGGCCTGAGTCTGGGTTCTGGGCTCACCATGAAGGGTGACAGCTGCAAGTTCCACTGATGTCAAAGAGACAGCATTATCACTGTGGCTGTTTCCATTAGCCTTGAAAGGGTGTTTCATGCAAAGCAGTTGAAGCTCAATTAAACTTGAAAGCCCTGGGCTTGCCCGGAAAGGGCAGGGAGCCAGGGACATCTCCATGCCCATGAGAGGGTGTGGAACGATTTGAACACCAAGAAGCCCCCTTAGGTCGTGTGGCAGTTGGAACTATTGAGGCAAAGGTGGGTGGGGAGAAGCGGCTTGGCTCCATCAGCTTCCGGCCTTGTGACCTTCACGAGCTCCTGCCCAAAAGGTGTGCAGGGTGTGAGTCTTGGGGAGAGAGGTGGACACCTGCCTGGGGAGAATCACTGAGAGGCTGATTTCAGGGGGGCCATGGAGGGGGACCTGTCCCGCGGCCCTGACCCTGTGACCTGGGGAGATGAGGGGGTTGAACCAAACTGAGCACCTTGCCCTGAAGTGCCTCCCCAGAGGTCACCGTGCTGTCCTTCGCGCAGCCTTCCAGGCTTCTGTCCCATCCCCTGCGGGAGAGGTCCATGCTCAGCAGCCGGGCCATTCTGATCAGAGCCCTGCCCAGCCCCTTGCCCATGCTGCAGCTGCACACTTGTGTGCACACACGCGTGCGCGCCCCTCACTAGTGCACGGCTCCACTTTGGCTCTCCCTTCAGAGCAGACTGGTGCAAGGAGTGGGCGTGGCGGGTTGAAAGGAGGCTACCTGGAGCCTCATTCCACAGAAACCCCCAAGTCTTCAGGTGCGTCTCTCCCACAGTCCCTTGCGTGTGTCTGTGTGCACACAAGTGTTTTCTCAGAAACACTGTAGATCATGATTGCAATCGCATTGTGCTTTTTAAAAATTTATCTAAATTTTTATATTATGGGCTCTTGTTTGATGTCATTAAATGTCCCTCAGAAACATCCTTTTCAGTGCCAGCATGTTATAGGACACCGTTCCCTGGTGTCCCGTAGCCTTCCTAATCTGTGAATATGTCGTGTTTTTCCCACTTTACAATACTATATGTAATATAATTATGTGAATTTAATATATCACGTGTAGGTAAAACCACACCCTTCTGTACGTCCTCAAAGTAATGTGTAGTAGGGATTTTTCTTGAATCCTTTAGGCTTGAGGGGTAAAAGAATGTTCTGAGTTTTTCACCCATTCTGGAACTTTTAGTTTTCAGTTGCCTTTTAGTTTGAAATTTCACTAAGTGCTGGGGGAACAGTAACATTTTGCTAATGTTCATGGTTCAGGGGAACAGTTCACATGTACATTTATTTTGAAGTTCAAATAGTGTAGCCTCGGCCTACAAGGGACTCACTGTTTGGGTCTGTGTTTTATATCCCATGCCCTCTAAAGCGGGACAGATGGCAGAACGTGCTGTCTTGCGTCTGTCTCTCTTCTGTGTCCTCTTTCTCTCACCCACCCGCCCCTTCTCTCTTTCCTTCGCCCCTCACTGCGGTGCCTGTAGAGCAGGCCATATTTGATCCAGAAGATTCTGTGCCTTAAGCCTTTGGTTTTGGTAAGTTAGCCATCATTTAATGGGTGGATTTGTTTGTTTTTGTTGGGGGCCCAGTAGCTGACAGCGAGACCCCAGGAACTGGAAAGCCAGCAGAGGAAAGAGCGGCAGCCTCCACAACCAAGATGGAAGAAGAGGAAGAGCAGGAGGAAGAGGAGGAAAATGAGAGCCTTCCAGGGTGTACTCTGTTTATTAAAAACCTCAACTTCGACACCACAGAGGAGACGCTGAAGGAAGTGAGTGGGCTCTCGGGACAGGAGGAAGAGGGTGTGGGTGTCGGGGGAGCATCCAGACTAGGCCTGTGTTTCCTGGGAGATGTGCCCAGAGCCAGCCCAAGAGCATCCTGGGAGGTAAAGGCTCGGGAGCTGGGAGGCGCAGCCAGGATGACCACGTCCAGTTTCTCCCCATTCTGTGTCTGGAGACGGAGCTGCAGGGAGGCTGTGTCCCTGTCCTGAGGTTACGCACAGCCCATTAGCACTGTGGGGAAGGGCCTCACTCCCAGGACTTCTGTCCCAGCTGTTGTCTGAGTGTAGAGCCATGAACAATGTCCACCTGCCTGGGCCTGGCTTCCGCCTTCGCTCCTTCCTAATGGTGAGCCCTGGCCGATGCCGTTCCATGCCTCAGTTTCCCCACGTGTCGTGTGAAGATGCCGATGGAGTCATCTCACATCCAAGTCCTATATCTGGCTCTTGCCATCCAGGCTGCTGCTTGGCTCATGTGTTTATCAGGACCCCTGCTCCCCGTTTCCCATCGCACTTGTGTGCTTCCCTGGGCCCTGCGGGTGTTTGGTGCCGCAACCAGATCCACGTAGGTTTTGCTCTGGCTGGGCCCAAGCAAGAGAGACAGAAAAAGGACAGGGAAAGAGAGAATTTAATATGACTTCAATTAGGGTTTTTAAAAAGTCCTTTGGGGTTTAAGTGCAGGGGCCAGTGAGAGGCTGGGCCTGGTCGGTGGATACCACGCCTCCCATCAGCTTCCCTGGCCTGGACTGCACAGCCCTGTGACTGCTCCGTGCACCACCCACCACCTCTGGAGCCAAGGCCAGAAACCAGCCCCACAGTCTGTATGGGAGCCCTCGGGGCTATCCAGTCCCTTAGAGCAGGTGCCACTCGTCACCTCCAGGCTTGGCATCCCCAGGATCTCACTGTGGCAAATTTGGGGGTGCAGCCTTCCTTGCCTGCATAGTGTTGGAGCCTGGATCAGCAGCCCCAATATCCGGGTCCCCATCTCAGCCCAGCACTTCTGGGCCCTGTAACCCTGGGTAGGGGCCATCTCTGAACCCCTGAGCCTCAGTCTTTGCATCTGAAAAATGAGACGTAATAATGGAGGCTCCCCAGGCCCCTGAGAGAGTTAACCTTGCAGGGGGGTCAGTGTGGGGCCAGCCGCAGGGAGCCACTGGAACCCCTACCTCCCCATGCCCAAGGCAGGATGTGTGACCAGCGCCTGTACAGGTGGGCGGGTTCACCTGGAAAAGCAGGCGATGCATGTGAACATTCTTTCCCAGGTGTTTTCCAAAGCGGGGGCGGTGAGGAGCTGCTCTGTCTCCAAGAAGAAGAACAAAGAAGGTACGCTGCCTGAAATCTCAGAGAGAGGCATGCCAGAAGCTGTAGCCGTGGGAGGGGCTGGGAGCAGAGCTGAAAAGAGAAACTTCACAGCGGCATGAAATGCTGGGCAAAGGTGGATGAGGATGCATGGAATTTCACGTCCGAGGGGAAAAATACAATGAGTGACCTGTTTTTAGTGTCCCATGAACCCCCTCGCACACACACATGGAGGCACGCACGCACAATATCTGGTCAGAGGGGAAGGCAGCCAATAGCTAATAATGAGTCCCCTCCTTAGCCAGACTACTGTATATCTGAGATCCAGAAAGGAAGTGTGAGGCGGGCGTGGTGAGGAGTGCCTGTAATCCCAGCACTCGGGAGGGAGGGAGGCAGAGGCTGGAGGCCGAGGCAGAAGGATGGCTGCAAGTTCAAGGCCACCCTGGGCTGCATAGCAAGACCCTGTCTCAAAGAACAGGAGAGAAGAAAGAGAAAGACAGAGTAGGTGTGGCCAGTGGCAGGAATACCTGTAAAGAGGAAGCCTTGGATTTCTGTGTGTGTGTTCGCCAAATGGTCAAATGCATTAGGTGTGGAAGCAGGGCCTAGGTAGAGGTGTCGCGCTTGTCATGACGATGGTCCCCCCCCCCCCGCCCCGGGCAGAATCCTGTTGTAATTATCAGGTCATTCTGGTCAGCCAGCCTTGGGTCAACCATAGACCTCATTGGTGGAGTCCTTTGGATGCCTGGTCCTAAACGGAGCCACCGAGATCTTCTCAGGCTGGCAGAGGTTGCAAAGAGAAGAGAAAATGATGCAGAAACCTGGGTCCTGGGCTCACCTGTGGCCCTCCGGTGGGGTTTCTTTCCCTCTCACAGGTGCACTGCTGTCCATGGGCTTTGGATTTGTGGAGTACAGGAAGCCGGAGCACGCACAGAAAGCCCTCAGACAGCTCCAGGTAAAAGGGGCTCTCAGGGCTTGGCTTGGGGCTGCAGTGGTGTCTGAGTCCGTGTTGTCCTGGGCCTGTCACTTTCACCAGGTCTCGAGGGGACCGTTCTCAACTCTGATTCACTGAGCAGTCAGCCAGGTGGGGGGGGCAGTACATGCTAAGGGCCTGTGGCAGGGACGCTAAGGTAGGGATGAGGTTTGTGTGTTTGAGAAGCTGAAGAGGCCACTGTGAGGGGCAGAGTTGTAGGGCAAGGGATCAGGGCACAGGGCAAGCGATCTTAAAGGACTCTGGATTTCACCCTGAAGGCTGCAAGAAAGCAAGAGACCACAGGGGCCCGGAGCACCCTGGGGAGGGGCCTGACTTGAGCTTCAGGACCCTCTCCTGAGCTGCTGCATGGTGAGCAGGTGGGCAGAGCCCACCAGGAAACACTGGAGTTACTCAGGCAAGAGACAACGATGGCCTGGGCCGGGGTGCAGCCATGAAGCGGGAAGAAGGACAGAGGGGCGTTTGGAGAGGAAGCCCATGTTCTGTGCAGACCGCAGGGAAACGCCCTCCCGGCAGGCTGAGCATGAGCAGCACCCTCAGGGGCCGCTGGGCCTGGCTGGAGAGGGGGACCAAGGCTGTGCATGCTGACGCCCCATGGGCCTGGCAGGGGTAAACAGTGCTGTATTGTTCTGGGTTTTGTTGTTTTTCTAAAAAGCTTCAGAAATCTCACCTTGTAATTTGATACTGTGTACTCACTTAGCTGAAATTCACCTCTACCAGTTCAGGAGTCCTGACTTTCTCTTCGCTATATTTAAAGGTTTTGTGAAATTCCATTTATGCACATGCAGCAAGCTATGTACACGGCTGCCCGAGTGCACACCACCTCTAAGGCCCAGTACTTTCTGGGAGGTCTGAGGCGTTTCCAGTGGCCCTGAGCTAATGTGCCAGCTTTGCCTTGAGGGACTAGGCCAGAGCCCGGCCTAGGGGCAGCATGCTGTGATCTCGAATGTTTTTCCAAGGCCTGCAATGTCCACAGGCCAGACCTGAGAGGCGCCTGCCCCCTAAAATGCTCATAACCGATGGGGACCTCTGGGCCCCGCATGGTTCAAAGGCCGAGGCTCATTCGGCATGGGGATATCGGAAGGCTGGGTCTCTGCCCTCGGTGCCTGTCAGCCCACTCCCTTTGGAGGCCTTGAGGCAGGGCCATGCTGTGTGGGGGCTGGGGGTGCAGAAGAGTTTGAGGCCAGGGCTGAGCCTCACTCACTGTCTTACCTCTTAGGGTCACGTCGTGGACGGCCACAAGCTGGAGTTGCGGATCTCAGAACGAGCCACCAGGTGAGTCTCCCGCGCCTCCTGCCCGAGGTTGGCACTGGGCCCTTCTGACCTTGGCGCTGGCCGCCCTGCAGGGTGTCTCGGGTGCAGCGCCCCCACCCACTTAGGAGTCTCCCTCATTAAGGGCCCTATCGAAGTCGGTGTTTGCCAGCTCTGACCCCGAGTCCCTCCTGAACTGGGACCGTGCTAGTCCTTTGCATGAATTCTTTTTGCTTCGTTTTTCTGATACTCTTAGTCCACATTTGCAGTACATACTGTTCGTGTTCCTTGTGCCGAGTTCATACGAGGAAATCACACATCTTAGCTCATTTTCATCCCCTTTCCCTCCTCCCCTCCATGTCTTGATCCCTTCCCTTTTGCAAAAGATCTGTCTCCCTGTTTCCTGCCATCTTTTACTTGGCTCTTTATTTACACTTTGGGTTTCTCATGCAAGAGAAGCCATGTGATATTGAAGCTTGTGCGTCTAATTTATTTCACTTAACATTGTGGTCTCAAAATGCATCCATTTTCCTAAAGGTGACACATTTATCCTTCTTTATGGGAGAGTAGTACCCCATTGTATGTAAATATCACTTTTTCTTTGTCCATTCATCTGTTGACGGGCATATGGACCACTTCCAAAATTTAGCCCTTCTGAATTGTGCTGCTGTGAACGTGGGTGCGCATATATCACTGCAATCCGATGTCTAACTCTCTGGGGGAAGATACATGGAAGGGGAATAGCTGGGTTGAATTCTTTGCACACCCTTTTTATAGTGAAAGGAATAAGTGTAGGAGAAACAGGCAGTGAACACTCATCTCAGGGGTGGAAATAAACCCCAAAAGAGTTTCGCGACACTGCTGCTTCAGACGAACCCTAAGAAGCTGCAGCCCCCAGACATTTCGTTTCACGGAGCAGTCTTTCTGAGAGTGGGGGCCCGAGTAGGTGCAGGTAACTGGGAGGAGACGCAGCAGGTGTGAGGGGCGGCACAGGCCCGTCTGCCCAGGGCCACCTCCCCGCAGAGGGGCGTCCTAGAGCTTGGCTGTGCTCCTGTGTCCGCCTGCTTGTCATCCAAGCCACCCACACGCGAGGGGCTCCCACCACGGAGCACGCGCCCTGGGAGCCATTAGCCCCACCTTATTGTCACCTCCCTGCCTTGGGTGCCGAAATGACCGCTCCAGCAGTCCTGGAGCTGCCTTAAGATGTTTATTTGGTCATTTCCAGCAAACTGGCCGTTGTTGTGATCGTTGAGCAAATTAGCTGCCAACAGATGGACCAGGTGCAGCTGCTTTTCCTTCCTTCTCAGCGATTTTAACCCTGCCTGTGAGTCCGGCTCAGGGCAGCTCTGGGAGTTTTCATCCTTCGAGGTCTGCCCTGCTGAACACCCTGAGTGAGAAGAAGGCCTGGGTCGGGCTCTCTGGAGTCCTTTGGGGGCTCCTGGTTCTGATCCAGGAGCTGCATGACCTTGGGCAGGTGATGTGGCCTGTAGGGCAAAATGTGACCCCAAGGGGCTGTATGAAAAGCATGTGGCACATGCCGTGCCCCAAGCGCTCCACCAGGATGGTTACCTTCCTTGTGTGTCCCTTCTCAGAGCGGCCCGGAGCCAGCCCTGCCTGCTCCTGCCTCCTGACTGATGGTCTCAGACACTGTCATTGAGACCCAGTATCCGACACCTGCAACTTAAAGGAGATGTGAATTCTGGCTTCGGTTCAGTAGTCACAGGCCTTGCATGGTCGGCTGGCTCCAAGGCAGGACAGAGGGCACAGGGCCGTGGTGGCGGAAAAGCTGCTCACGGCACAGCAGGCAGGAAGCAGGGGCACCCAAGGAGGAGCCAGAAAGGGAGATGAGGCCTTGGGGTCCCAACCACAGTGACCGCCTCTTCAGCCAGGCCCCGCCTCTACACAACAGGTCACTCTCAACCCCATGACAGTCAGTGCCAGAGGTCTCGCCCAGAGTCCGGGAGACGTTAGGAGGACGTCTGCATAGAAACCACAACACTGGTGTCTGTGACATCGAGTCCTTGCTCAACAAATGCATATAGGAAGCCATAGTGCACCAGACTCTTCCTGGGCACCACACTGGCATCTGCTGGTGGCCTTCAAGTCTCAGAGCAGTGTTGTCGGACAGACACTTGCATGGCGACAGAAATTTTCCACACCCGAGCTCTGCAGGAGGGGGCAAGTGCCACTGTACTCGTTACCCCCTGCTGCTCAACAAGCCACGCCACACCACAGCCAGGACAGTAAAAGGCCACATCCTCACAGGTTCTGGGGCATGGAGTCCAGAGCAGCCCTGCTGGGGAGCTGACATGGCCTCTGGGAGGCTTAGAGGTGTCCCTGCATGGCCGCGGCTCACCCTGGGCCTGCTCAGAGTCCCGGTGACGTGACGCTGGCTTCCCTGGAGTGAGAGACCCAAGAGGGAGCAGGGAGGAAGAGCAGTGTCTCGAGTGAGCTGTGTCACAGTCGCACATGGTGGCTTCAGTTGCCCTGAATCGGGGTGGAGGGGCTCGGGGTCAGGAGGACCAGCTGGGAGTGGGGTGTTCACCGAGTTCATCCTAATTCAGACTGAAGCAGCCACCTGCAGCAGGGGCTGCTGTGTGGGACGGCACTGCCCCGGGCGACAGGACAGACGGGACAGGGAAGAGTGGTGGGAGGTGTGTGAACTGTAGGCGGAGTGAGTCCAGGAAAGGGACCAAGTCGGGGTGCATGCAGGGGCTGCTGAGCTGTGGAGATGGGGAGGCCTCTGAGGAGTCGGAGGAGGTTGAGAGGGCGGAGTCTCGACAGTCATAGTCACCACAGCGGCCGTGGGGACCGTTGCCCACCTGTGGGTACGGTGCCGAGTCCCCTCTCATGAAGTCTCTGCCACCCATTCCGCATCTGAGAAATCACACTCGGGGACGCTGAGGCACTTGCCCAAGGTGATGCAGAGTCTGGGGGTCAGCCTGGCTGGCGTTTGCGCCTCACTTGGTGCTACACGGCCTTTCTCGCTGCTCTGGCCCGCTGGGAGCAGCGGGAGGTGACAGGGGCCTGTTAGGGATGGCCCGGAACCCTGAGCTGAGAGTTTTTCCTGCCATGTGGCCCAGCTCTGCTCAGGGCCCCTCGGGGTCCTCAGGTAAAACAAAGCGTCCCAAACTTGGCCTTTGGGAACCATCCAATGTCTTTCAGAGAAGGAAACGGAGATTGGGTTTGGTGGGGAGCCATTCCTCCTCCATCCAGGTCCTTTCTGGTGGCAAGGACGGATGTGTGGGCCGGATGCCACAGCTGCTTTAGGGGAAGACAGTTCCCATTCGTGTCCCCTGGGGGGCACTGCCTTCCTCCTCTTGCATCGAGGCCTCTCCCACACATGCTGCTTGGTCCTTCACCTGAACGTCGGACAGGAGCTTCTGTTCTGCTAGGAAGGGGCTGGGTCAGTGTAGGGCAGCGGGAGCATGGGCACCTCCAGGAACCTGAGCCCCTTTCCCTCCTGCTCCAGGCCAGCCCTGACGTCTTCCCGGAAGAAGCAAGTCCCCAGGAAGCAGACAACCTCCAAGATCCTGGTGCGGAACATCCCCTTCCAAGCCAGCCTCCGCGAGATCCGGGAGCTATTCAGGTGAGATGCGCATGGGTCGGTCCACGGTGCAGGCGAGCAGCGGCTCAACTGCCCACTGTAGCCTCGCTGAGGATGGTGCCTGGCCTGGAAGGCTCCGCTGCAGGCCAGCACCATAACTTTCCAAGGTCATGTTCTGGCTGCCTTGGACTTATCTCAGAGAGCATTGGGCAGAAAAGTGAGACCAGCCAGGCTTTTCTTTCCCCTCCACATGCCGCAGGAGGGGCCAGAGCCTTGGCGCTAAAACTCTGCTCTCCCTGCAGCCTGTTTCAAATGGCCCTCGTCCGTTTGGTTGAAGGTGGTGCTGCTCCACCTTGGGCACCTTCAGGTCACCTGGTGACTTTGCCAAACATCCCTTTGCTGGAGGAGGGCATCTGATGGGCGAGAGCGCTGGGGGCCTGCATCCCTGTGGGCTCCCCGGGGCTGACCCTTCACCGTTCTGCATCCGGGTGCAGTGGTTCGGCCTCCGCTTGTCAATTTAATGTGAAGAGCAAGAGTAAAGTCTGGTGGAAAGGCCAGCTGCCGTCTTGCCTGGAAACTGCAGGTGCAGACGGAGTCCCAAGTTTGGGAGGTGGGAAAGAATTGTCTGTGTGCCGAATATGCCCTCTTCATTCTCCCTGTGTGGTTTAGAGACTGGGAAGCCATTCGGGGCCTTTGCTTCCTCCTCCTCCTCCTCCTCCTCCTCCTCCTCCTCCTCCTGCT